ACTTCGGATGAAGCTTATGCATGGGTTCTCTGTAACTCCATGATCAATAGTTGGCTGCATAACACTATTGATCCCCAATTACAACCTCTTATCAAATGTTTTGATACAGCCAAAGGCCTTTGGGATGATCTCAGTGAACGTTTCTCTGTGGCAAATGTCCCACGCGTGTTTCACCTAAAGGCTACTCTTTCCACAATCAGACAGAATGGTGTCTCCGTAATAGATTACTACATCAAACTTCGTTCCATTTGGGATGAGCTTGAGTCAAACAGATCACTCACAGCTTGTTCCACTGGTGCCGCATGTGCTTTCTCTAAATCCACCACTCTCGAGGACGAAAACAATCACGTCTACCAGTTCCTTATGGGTCTGGATCACACTACCTATGGTAGTCTCATTACTCAGATCCTCAACACCACTCCACTACCAAGTATCAATCGAGTGTTCTCCATGGTGGCTCAATAAGAGACGCACAAGGCCCTGGTTCGATCTCATGATTCTCCTACTGATGCAATGGGTTGCGCAGCGACAAGTACTGTTTCCAAGGAACTAGGCGATTCCTCCAAACCTAGGGTCACTTGCACCTACTGTGGCAAACCCTACCACGACGTCACCAAATGTTATCAGCTGATTGGTTACCCAGATCGTCCCAGTACTGGACGTGGACGTGGACGTGGGCGTGGTCGTTCATCCCATGTTCGCCCTCCACCACCATCTGCCAGAGCTGCTCACACTAATACGACTTATGCACCTACTGAGCCGTCTGCAGCATCAATCTCCATGGCAGATTTTACACCGGATGTTCTCCAACATCTAATGTCCTTAGTTGTATCCTCTGCACCCCCAATTGAAAAAATCACGGGTACATTACTCCTCTTCCTCCCGGAAAGAAAGCCATTCCCTGTAAATGGGTGTATCGTATCAAGTATAATTCTGATGGAACTATTGAACGCTACAAAGCACGTCTGGTAATTGCAGGGAATAATCAGATCGAAGGAGAGGATTACACTGAGACTTTCGTACCTATAGCCAAAATGGACGCGTCGAACGCCACCATCGTCACATCCTCAATGTGGCTCGTGCTTTGCGTTTTGATGGCCATCTTCCTATCTCTCTTTGGGGAGAATGTATCTTGTCAGCTGCTCACCTCATCAACAGGACACCTACCCCACTACTTGGCGGTCAGTGTCCCTACGAAGTCTTGCATGGCACGCCATCATCATATGATCACTTAAGAGTCTTGGGTAGTTTATGTTACTCCACTGTTCTACCCAAACCAAGTGACAAGTTCGAAACTCGCTCCCGTAAGTGTGTATTTGTTGGTTACCCATTCAACAAAAAAGGATGGAAGGTCATGGATATCTTAACTCAAGAAATTTTTGTCTCTCGTGATGTTTTATTTCATGAAAACATTTTTCCGTTTGCTGAGTCACCATCGGATCAGATTATTCATGCACCGCTAACACAAGCGGTCATTACTGATTATGATGAGGTCCCTATTGCTGAAATTGACAATACACCATCACAGATCGACGACAGGGGGAGTATGTCTTCACCAGTTACTAGTCCACCAGTCACAACAACGGAACCCAGTCCGTTACCTATGGTAGCTGTTCGGGAACCTCGTGCACGGCGTCCACCTTCTCATCTACAGGACTTTGTATGCAACACAATGACTACACCCCTTCCTCGTCTCTCCACCCCTACAATCGCCTCAGGTATTCAGTATCCTCTCCAACAATATGTTACTAATGCATTATTCTCTTCGAAACACCAGCTTTTTCTTGCAGCAGTGGATGGCCAATCAGAGCCAAAAACATTTAAAGAGGCAATGCAATATCCTCACTGGCATAAAGCTATGCAAACTGAAATAGATGCATTAGAAGACAGTCACACTTGGCACATTACTCCTCTTCTTCCCGGAAAGAAAGTCATTCCCTGTAAATGGGTGTATCGTATCAAGTATAATTCTGACGGAACTATTGAACGCTACAAAGCACGTCTGGTAATTGCAGGGAATAATCAGATCGAAGGAGAGGATTACACTGAGACTTTCGCACCTGTAGCCAAAATGACAAGTGTGCGTACATTTTTATCTGTGGCTGTGGCTAGAAAATGGAGCATTTTTCAACTGGATGTCCAAAACGCCTTCCTCCATGGAGACTTAGATGAAGAAGTCTTCATGAGATTTCCTCCTGGTTTCTCCCAAACGAAATCTGGACATGCATGCAAGCTTCAACGTTCACTTTATGGTCTCAAACAATCCCCACGAAATTGGTTTGCCAAACTTCGAAGTTCACTAATCAGCTTCGGCTTTGTTCAGTCTCGTGCAGATTATACGTTGTTCACTTACTCGAGTGGCTCACATTATGTTGCTATCCTTGTCTATGTGGATGATATTTTATTAGCAGGCAGTGACCCTTCTCTCTGTGATCGAGTAAAAGCTCATCTTCAAACATGGTTTAAAATCAAAGACCTTGGCAACCTCAAATATTTCCTTGGTATTGAATTTGCTAGACGAAAGACCGGTTTGTTTCTTAGCCAACGCAAATTCGCTCTGGATATTCTTCAGGAATGTGGTCTTCAAGGATGTAAACCAGTAGCTTATCCTATGGATCCTAATCACAAACTTGCTCTTGCCGAAGGTCCTCCGTTTGAAGATCCTAAACGTTATAGGCGTATTGTTGGACGTCTAGTTTACCTCACGATTACACGACCAGAACTAAGTTATGCAGTTCACACACTGTCACAATTTCTGCAGAATCCTATGCAGCTCCACTATGATGCAGCCATTAGAGTCCTTCGGTACATTAAGTCCAATCCTGGCCAAGGACTCCTTCTGAGATCCGACAGTGATCTTCTCATTCGAGCTTATTGCGATTCAGATTGGGTAGCTGTCCACTAACACGAAAATCTATTACATGATATTTTGTCACTCTTGGACATTCTCCAATTTCTTGGAAAACCAAGAAGCAAAATACAATATCCCGCTCCTCAGCTGAAGCTGAATATCGGGCAATGGCAACAGCCACCTCTGAACTTATTTGGATCAAATCATTTCTCAGCTCTCTTAGCATTCCTCACGAAGTGCCTATGCAACTCTTCTGCGACAGTCAGTCAGCCATCCATATTGCCTCTAATCCCGTGTTCCATGAGCGTACAAAGTATATCGAGTTGGATTGTCATTTTGTTAGAGAACATGTTCTCAGCAAGACTATTTCCACTCAACACATCAGAACCAGCTCTCAGCCGGCTGACATTATGACCAAAGCTCTCAGTTCGAAAAAATTCGATTTCTTGACTTCCAAGTTGGGCATCTCCTCCCTCCATGTTCCAACTTGAGGGGGAGTATTAGAATAGGATAGGATCAATTTGTTAGGATCAGTTTGTTCTGAGTTTGTTTGTATCAGTTTGTTACTGTGTTGTTACTTTGTAAATCAAATATGTTAGCTAGCTGTACTGTTTTTCTGTTCCTTAGTTTTAGCCGTTCCTATTGTACTTCTTTGGTCTATATATTCGACCTCATTCAATTGAATCAAAGTAAGCTGCTAATTGACAACAACTTCTGTTAACTTATTTATAGTTTAAATATAAATTCATAAGTCAATACCTCACTCTAATTCTGATTTCTCCTTGTAGTTCTATTAGCAATCAATGATAATTATTATTAATAGTTTATTCCCCAATCAAATTTGCTATCGGGTCATATTTAAGGAATATGTTCAGAAAAATAAATAGGAAAAAATTCAAAAAAATCCCCAGTAATTTTATTTGGAATCACTTTTACCTCATTTTTTTTCTCTAATCACTTATCCCATATGATTTTTTTTTATCCAAATTCATCTTTAACACTGTTAGAGACTAAATTAATTTGCCTATTTTATCCTTTTAAGAAAAAGAAAATAGACTTATGACCAAAAAAAATAAAAGAAAAAAAGAAAAATAATACCAAATATATTAGAAACTTACAATACTTATAGAAAAGACTAAAAATTAAAAAACCAGAATAGAAGAAAAAAAAAATATGTCTAAATCAAAAAAGAAGAAAATAGACCAAAGACCAAAAAAGAAGAAGACCAAATATGTTGAAAATTAATATTAGTAGCATAAAAGATTAAAAGTAAAAAAAAATAATCTAAAAAATAAATTAAACTGAAAACAAAAACAAAAATAGAAGGAAAAAAAACTAGATATGTCTAAACAAAATATTTGGTGTTATTTTTTTCCTTTTTTGTCATCAATCTATTCTCTTATTGTAAGAAGGGTGAAATAAGTAGATTAATTAAGTTTCTAGCTATGTTAAAGATGAATTTGGATAAAAAAAATATATGGGGATGAATGATTAATATAAATGGTTCAAAGTAAAACCATAGCGAAGTTTTTAAATTTCTCCCAAATATGAAATATGCTTAGAAGGATTTAACCTAAATTAAAAACATAACTATTTACCAAAAAAACATCAACTAGGCATTTGGTTTTCAAATAATAAATGAAGAGAAATAAAAGAATCATGTTATTTGACACAACTTCTTTTTCCTAATCATTCAAAAAAGTGAGAAATTCACTCTAATTTTTTTTCTCTCTTTTTATATAATAGAACTCACAATATTTATGTATCTATAACATGACACAAGAAATGTCACGTAACATTATATTCATAAAACCCATAAATCTATATTCGAAATTGTTTGATTATATTAACTTGATGCATTAGTAAAATAAGAAGTTTTTTATTAAAGTTTTCTGTTTGTATATAATCTAATTTTAAATTCATTTTCATTCTATACTCCTACAGAAACATTTTGAAACCAATTTAGTCCAAACTAGTTTTTACTATTCATGCAACAAAAAAACTCTGTTTTTGTTGTCCTAAAAAGTTGTTTAAAAAAAATTAATAACATTTTCACCACCCATGGTATTTTGTATTTACCAATCATCACTAAAAATAAATAAATAAATAATAATAATAACCAAAACTCATCTTTATTTGGTTGGGGGAATTTGTTTGGTTGGTAGTGTGTGTCGATGATTCATGAGGAATTGGATGAGCATGGGAGGCATGGCGATAGGAATAGCAGCAAACACCACTGTTGTTGTTGTTGCACCCATTCACAAAATCATCCCATTCTCTCTCACCAGAACGACGACGCCGTTTCTCATTTCTATTCTCACTCCCCGTCGCCGCTTCTTTTCTGCTTCTTCCGTTACTTCTTTAACTGCTGAACACAACTTCTCTGATTTCGGTCACTACCCATCTTTTTAAATATATGCACAAATGCATCTCTTTATTCATATAATTTTTATTTTTATTTTTCATCCCTTTTAATATCTCAATGTTTCTTTGATGCAGGAGATGGTCACTGCGTTGCAATTTCAAGCAAAGGTTCAAAGATGCTTCTTAAAGGGATGACTTACACTGAGCTTGAAGTATGCTCTTTTTTTATTTTATAAATTTATTTATATATGTATGTGCATATTGTATTTTATCTTTAGGGCTTGTTTGGTGGACCATGATAGTATAAGGGTAGGATATGACACGAGACTGATAAGGGTAGGATATGACATGGGGTTGATAAGCCTATATCATGTGTTTGATGAGCACTTAATTAGCAATCTGATAAGATTATCTAGAAGGAGAAAGAAAAAAGAAAAAAGAAAATATAATACAATAAATACTAATATATTGGGTAACGTGGGATATATTGGGTAGCGTAGGGATATATTAGGTATTCAATATTGTTATCCTATCCTGTTGAATCATAACCCAGCTCCCCCCATAGGATAAGAAATCGTGTATTGGATAGAATAAAATGAGACAATATGATAAGCTAATCATATCCTATTGACCTACCAAACAAGAGATAAGAGTAGGATATGATAAGTTATTCTATCCTATCTTCTTTATCAGATGCTCCAAACAGGCCCTTAAAGTCAATGAGATAAGTTATCTACATTGTTATGGTGCGGAAATTAAGGTACTTTTGTAATTATAATTTATTTCAGGGTATAATAGCCCTTCTGATTATAATTTTTTTAATCTTTTAACTCAAAACGACGACATCGTTTTGAGAATGAACATAGATAACTTATCTACGTTGACTCTATAAACATTAAAGCCTTTAACCTGTCAATAAAATGTGACTGTTATAAATTAGTTATTTAAGAAAAAAAAATATGTGAAATGGGTATTTGATTTCCACTTGTTGACTCAAATTTGGGAGTGGATCCCCTGGTATCTTATTTAGCATAACTATATCATGTGAGAGGGATCGTAATCATTTATAAGCAAATCAATGGCGACGAGAGATTAAAGGGAAAAAATATTGGGATCGGGAGTGACAAAATCATCATGGTTGATTTGCAAATGAATGGTTAAGATTTTCGCACATAATATGATCATGTTAAATAACACAGTGATTATCTACTCCCTTCTAATTTTGTGGCTGATGGTTATTATCACTGTACAGAAATGGGTTCAATCACATGGATACAGGCCTGGGCAGGCTATGATGTTATGGAAGCGTATGTATGGAAACAACATTTGGGCCCATCATATTGATGAGTTGGAAGGTTCTTTCTTCTTCATCTTCTCCTTCATGTATTTGAGAGGGGGCAAAAATTATTGTTTTATAATGTTAGTACTCTGTACTTGTTAATTGATCAATAATGTTAGTGCACTTATAGATCGTCCTAGTGAGTATAATTAAGAATTGCTTATGAACTTTGAGCTGCACACCGCGCAGTTTAAATTGACTAATAATTCTTCTAATTTATTATTTATATATCAATCTTATGATTTAGGTTTGAACAAAGATTTCAAGAAGATGCTGAGTGAAAATGCCGAGTTCAAAGCACTTGCTCTGAAAGAAATTCGCGCAGCGTCTGATGGAACTAGGAAGGTTGACATGATCTTTCTCTGTTTTGTTTTCAGTTCTTATTATATATTTTACGTCTTTTAATCCATCTAGCAAGACTTGCAACCTGGGTGGTTACTTAGATGATATTTTAGGCTTATATCCTCATGATTTCTTGCATTGCTTGCTTATATTTAGTTAAGTCTCAGGAGAGGCTTCTTGTTGACTGTTAAACTCACAGGACATTGCAGATTTTATTCACATTGGATGATGGGTTGGTCATAGAAACAGTTGTCATACCTTGTGATAGAGGCAGGACTACTGTGTGTGTTTCGAGTCAAGTCGGATGTGCAATGAACTGTCAATTTTGCTATACTGGAAGGCAAGCCTTCTTTTTCCTGTTTGAAATCAATTCAGTGGTTTTGCTTTGTGATAATTTTGCTGCAAGTTTGTTATACATATTTATTTTGCAGGATGGGTCTTAGGAGACATCTTACTGCGGCAGAGATAGTAGAGCAAGCTGTTTTTGCCAGACGGCTGCTCACAAGTGAAGTTGGCTCCATCACAAATGTTGTCTTTATGGTAGTTTACAATTGCATTGAGAATTCTAAAGCTTACTGTATATCAACAGTGAAGGCATATAAGAATGCAACACCCGCTATTGTTTCAACGATTTAGCATTAGGAAATGCATTTAATTTTTTTTTCATTGTTGTCCCAGACTCATACTCCCAATATGAACGTCTGCTTGGTCTAGCACCTACTGTCAATTCTGTTGATGCTTACATATATATCATGTGTGCTAGAGATGGGGGAGGGGAAGAAAATGATAAAATAGAATTACAAAAGTGGTGTCTTCTAATTGATTGCAAGCTAATAACTGCCATACATTTATTTTAGGGCATGGGGGAACCACTTCATAACATTGATAATGTCATTAAAGCTGCAGACATTATGGTGGATGAGCAAGGACTTCATTTCAGCCCCCGCAAGGTTACTGTTTCAACCAGTGGGCTTGTTCCGCAGCTGAAACGTTTCCTTGTTGAATCCAACTGTGCATTAGCTGTTAGTTTAAATGCAACTACTGATGAGGTAAATTTCTTATTAGTTTATTGTTATTTGCTCATGAAGACAGATGAGATGGAAGGATTGGTCACGCTTAAAAATATTATGTCAGGTTAGAAACTGGATCATGCCTATAAATCGAAAGTATAAACTGGACTTGCTTCTTGAGACACTTCGGGAGGAGCTTTGCTTCAAACACAACTATAAAGTTCTATTTGAGTATGTGATGCTTGAAGGAATTAATGACAGGTTAGGCAAATTTCTTCACTTTGTATATTGCTTGTGTTGGATAAATAATTTTATATCTTTCCCTAGTATCAATTGTCTTGTCGCTAGACAAAATCATGTTTCAGTTCATGAGCTGGATCATATGTGTAATACTTACACATGAATTTGGAATGATGCAATTGAGATTGCACAATGTTCTGTACTATATTGGTGGTTTTTTCTAGCTTAGTGCTAAAATTGGATTTTTCATATGTCCTATTTTTCGTTTGCTTTTAGGTCCTGTTCAGGGTCTTATTTGCCCTTGTCTAAGTCCATCTCCGGTCACTGCCCTTGTCAACTTCTTTCTGCCATCACTCCTGATGCTACTTAACCCCAGCATGATGCATATGTAATATCATCAATAAAACCATCAAATTGCTTGCGTTGATTAGTTCTCACCATTCCCCTCTCCCCTTTTCCGACTATGTTTATGGTCTCATTTGTGTGTGAAATTCCTCTACTCTTGCTCTATGAAACGTTCCATGTTGTTGTTCCTTTTTTCTCCTTAGCTGTTCATTTCCATTATGAATCATGAAGATAAACGACTGAATGTTGTTGAAGTTTTGGTTCAATTCTAACTTTTTGCGTTTATATATGTATACTTTCCCTACCTAATGGAGTAAGACTTGGTTATTGTTGTTATCGTTGCATATACCTTAACTTGTACATCCTTTATCCAGCAATGAAGACGCAAAGAGGCTTGTGGAGCTTGTGAAGGGCATTCCTTGCAAGATTAATCTCATCTCATTCAATCCGCATAGTGGATCATTCTTCAGACCAACCAAAGAAGAAAGGATGATTGAATTCCGAAATACATTGGCTGGGGCAGGTTGCACTGTCTTTTTACGACTCAGTAGAGGAGATGATCAGATGGCTGCATGTGGTCAATTAGGTAAGCCTGGCACCATTCAAGCTCCATTGCTCCGTGTACCACACCAATTCCAAATGGCACTTGAAAGTTCTGTGTGATTCCTTGTAGAGAGACGTTCAGCTACAAGTTGGTCCAACAGTTACTAAGTAATTCCATAGGGCACTTGTGAGTGGGATAGGGTGGCCATTGTTGTTTCAATATTTAGAATGCAAGACCTGAAACCTAAACAAGGAAAATATCTGTCCGTTTCCATGTTTCACTACCCCATTTTACTATTAATTGACATTTTTTGGTAAACGTGAAGGATCCAAATTCCTTGAGTTCTCTGATTTTTACATGAAATAGAAGCCAGAAAAGAGCATTATATTTATATAGCGTTTTGACCATTGGTTGGTTCCTTTTAATTTTATATTTGAAGAAAATCGATGAGATAAATGTAAAAATTAATATGTTAACTTGATAAATATTACTAGTTTTTACATGTATATTTACATGTAAAAACTAGTACAAGCTTATGTACATTTACTTATGTAGAAGCTTTAAAACAACATGGCAATTATGGTATAACTAATATTTTTATAAACATAAACCATAGTTTATGGTACTTTTAGTCCATGTAAAAAATATAGTCATTTTTCGATTTGGTCTCGTTAATTTTGTGTTTCAACTTCTGAATCATCGTTGTTTAGATCTGATCTTCAAGCCCGACTTTCGAATTTTTTTTGTTTGCCTTTGATTGTCACCACTTGTGAAAATCACAGCTCCAAATGTGATGGTGGTCTCAACGGTGAGTTATTGGTTGACTGTTTAAATTGGATAAGATATATGTGTGTGGTTTTTGGTTGAACTTTTTAAATTATATATATATATATATATATATATATATATATAAATATTTTTCCGGCAACTTAAGATAATTTTATCTCCGGTCACTCCAAAATTACGTCCTTTTGTTTATTTATTTTCTTATATTAATTGATTCATCTTTGAATGGTTATGATTCTCTTTTTCTCTCTATTTCTTTATCACCATTGATCCATCTTTGGACGGTTATAATTCAGTAGCCGGAGATAAAATTATCTCAGACAGCTTGAGAAACGATAAGCTCGTATAATATATATATTTATATATATATATATATATATATATATATATATATTTATTTATTTTTTTTTTATATTCAAAATTTTAAAATTTCGTAACACAACAAAAGTTACAAGTGTTTCCAAATTTAAAAAAATTACTCCATAGTTATTTAATCAAGTTTAATAAAATAAATTCACAATCACAATTACAATCCTATTATACATGATATGATTTCATTATAAGTTATTATAAGCTAATTTGCAACGAAAGCATAATATTACACTCATATAAATTGTAGGTTATTTAAAAAATATGCATCAACATCACACACATAATAGAAGTAAAACATTAATTTTTTATTTATGTAACAATTATGTTTTAAAATTTTATTAAATAATTTTTAAAATGAAAAACAAATGAAAACTTGAAAAATTAATGAGAAAAAAGTTAACTTCAATATAAAAGTATGTAACTGGTGTATCCAAAAAAAAAAAGTGTGCATGTGATAGAATTGAGCCAAATAAATATGGGCTATAGCCCACTGTAAAAATTAGAGGGAGGGTTAAAAGAAGCCCTAGGAGAAAATGCTTTTACAATTTCACATCACTTCTTATAGAGCTTGCTACCATCTTTTTTTCTCCTCTCTATCTATTCATGAAAATCCAGCCATTTTATTTCAGTTTTTTCTTTTTCCTTTGCTACCTATAGCATTACCCTCTGGTTTGTTGAAAAATCACCTATGTGTATGCATGTTGAGCCGTGGAGAAGGGCAACATCTCCTGTTTAGATATTGGTTATAGCTTGAGGAATGACAAATCCAATAGGGTGGTGTGCCGATGAAGTGATTAATGATGCAAAGGTTTTTTTTAAAAACAAAAAAGAAAGAAAAAACTTCATGAACCATCTGGATTTTTCAACCTGCGGATCACCGATTTTTAAAAAAATTGGTCGATGAACTAGTTCACATCTATTCTTGAGCATGACCGATCTATTGAGTAACAAGAACTAGTTACATAACCAGTTCACCAATTTCTAGTTTAACCCTGCCGATTCGAGTCGGTTTTCGCAACACTAGGTCAAGGGGCATTCTACTACTAGAAACAGGGTCAGACTGTGAATACAAGGTATGTTTCGATGATGACAAAGAAGCAACAATAAAAAGAAAATAGCATTGATCAAGAGCAAAAAGTATCAACCATGTGTGGAGGTTGAAGATATATAATGAAGCCACACAAAAAATAATGAGATATTAAAGTGGCGAGAACATGGATAAGCTATAAAGAAAGCTAGCATTGGATTAAGAGCAACAAGGAGAATAAGAAGAGCAAAATCAAGATCAAAGCCAATAAATCTGGACAACCATGAAGAAAATCTTAATCTCACAAGTTATGGTAAAAGATGATCAAATCCAACAATGCATCAAATTATTGCAAAACCAACAAGTCAAACATTAAGTTCAAGTAAAGATCAAGATCCAAGAATAAACATAAGAAGCTAAGTCCTTGTTCCTATTAGATTAAACTTTTAGGACTTAGATTCAATTGTAAAGGTATATGTTTAATTGCATTGATGAGCTCAACATTGTATAATCTTTCAAAATTGCACGACTCTTATACAAACCATTTTGACATGCTTTTCTAACAGAAAAATAACTAACATATGCTAAATGTGATAATCCTTTTTATAAGTGCTAAGAATGTGCGTGAAACGGTTTTTTGAATCAAGTTGGTTTCAATTTGTGAAATTCATGCATAAATGTTGCTACTCACGGCAAGTGCACCGATCGTACAAGTAATATATGATTAAGTAAGAGATCGTTCCCACGAGGATTACGGTTCAAGCACTAATTCACTATCGCAACTTAGTTGGACAATCGAAAGTGTATTTGGAAACAGGATTTGAATTGCAAAATTAAAATATTAAATATTAAGCTAATTACTTGCAAGAATTAAAGACAAGAAATTAAAGATGTGATTTAACTAATAAAATAAAAACGTAGCTAGGGGTTCGATTTCATTTAATCTCCTTATTACGTTTGAATTCCTTCTTAATGTTAATTGTCCTTAGTATCAATCTAATCAATTCTTTCGCATGTTATTAGAGCTCAATCTCTTGTTACTCTAAAACATTTACAATATTGGAAGAACCCTAGTTCCCCGGTTATTCCCCAAGCATGCAAGCATTAAATTCAAGAATCTTAAATATTACGCAAACCCTATGTCTATCCCTAGAATCATAACGTTTACGATGAAGTTATCAGATATGGATCACACACCAACATTCCTATTGTCATGCATTCACCGATGATCATTATATAAGATTCAAGCCTATATAAAGCATTAAAAACAGATAACTTCATTCATGATATAAAGGAAAATTAACACAGCGAATTGTTCAAAACATAATAAATTGACTAAAATCCATCTAACCCTAACTACTTAAAGAACTAGCCGGACATAGCAAAATCAAGAACAAAAGAAAATAGAAAAGCTCCCCCAAACTCCATAGATAATTGGTGGATCTTCAATATCTCCAGTGAACACTTGACGTTGATCCGTCTCCGCCGCTCACGAACATGAATCTGATGTTCCTCCGCGTTCCTTCAGCCTCTAAGCACCCAAGAGTTGTTTTGCAATGTGAAAGTTATTCTTCTGGTTCCCGATGGTGTTTTTTTATAGGTCAAGAGTTCGTATCTTGATGAAACACCTTGAATGGGCCTAAGTTGGGTTTCTGGGGCGCTTAAGCTTGCTTCATCGCGCTTAAGCCCCCTAGAACGGTGATTGCAGAATTCGCGTTGCGCGCTTAAGCGCGCTGTAGGGCGCTTAAGTGCGATCTTCCAGTCAGAATTTTCTTCTTCCAGCGTGCTTAAGCCCTGAGTTAGGGGCTTAAGCGCCCATAGGCCGAGACTTTTTGCGTATTTTGGAGGCTTAAGCTTCCTTATTGGGGCTTAAGCTTCCATTGGCAGAGGCTATTTGCTTGTTTAGGAGGCTTAAGCTTCATGATGGAGGCTTAAGCTTCCTCTCTAACAACTTGATAAGATCTTAAATCTATCTTGTTTTTGATCTTCCTCTATCATCTCTTGATCTCATATCTTCTAGTTGTGATCTCTATCTATCAAATCTTCATCTTTTGACTCCTTTTGTCAACAAATCCCTAAAAAATAGCAAGGATGATTCAATTAAACAAAAATTCAGATAATGTTCATGATTATCCTATTAAAACCCTAGTTTTTGACTTGTTTAATTAGATAATTCATATTATTTTAGTCCATAAAACAAGATAAACTAAAGGTTTATCAATAAAAGTCAAAAAGGTTTGAAAAATAATTTCAACATGTTTTAACATTACAAACATCTTTCCAAGAGCCAATTATATGTTCCTGTAATGTTGGAACCATTTGAAAGTGAAAGGGAGTATAAAAAATATATTTTTGGTCATTCTTCACGTGTTATCAAGGGAGGATTCGAATTCATCATGAAAGATTTGAATCCCTCAACAGGGATAACAAATATTGACCAGTATGCCTATAACGGCTATAAACGATCATAAAAAGCTAGTTTAGGAAAAATCACAATAAATACATTCCTTATGTCTCTAAACAAGTTTGATCATAATTTCTACACATCTTAAGGATAATTTGAGAGCTTTTACATTATCATTTATATATTATTTCATATCTTTCAAAGATTACACATATTTGAGCTCATATCTTGAAAATTCATATACCCATACTGCTTTAACTTGTACTATCCACACTTTGAGAGTGTAAATCCTTATTCAAATCATTCCTCATTATATTCTTAAGTTAAAGGGTAGTGAGACCCTAAGAGATTGAGAGGTAGCCAATTTCCTAGAAAATTTTGGGAAATGTTATAAGGTTTCCAAGCAACCGTAAGCTTGGAGGTCATTATTAGGTCACCAAGGACTTGTAAAGCTTGGAGGTTGTAGTGTTTTGTCAAGCACCCATGAAGCTTGACTAATAATGAAAGAATTGATTAATTGGCTTTAATCTGAATGTAGGTTACAAATGATAGTGACCGAACCAGAATATATTCTATTTGCAATTCTCTAAACTCTAAACTCTTTATTTCTAATACTTTAATTGCTTTTTTGATATCTTGTATGTGCTAGTATAGGTTCTATAATTGTGATAGATTATATGTTATGAATTATTTGAATGTACTGATTAGGCTTTCATACATCAAAGTTTGCTTAAAATGATAATTTAGAAATAAGAAAGGGGCTTTTGTAAAAAAGTTACTATACTCAATTTACCCCCCCCCCCCCCCCGCGAGTATGGAAGTCATATTCCTAACACAGGCTTAGCTCCACATGACCCTTGGAAATCATCCTTCTTACAAATCCTACCAAATTCGTATAAGGAGTTAGGTTCTATTTTGCCAAGTCTACCATTATTGCTCTAAAGTTTGGTACTTTAGCAAGCACACAACCCATCACATGATGGAATTAACAATCACTCATCACTGATGATGGTGAGGATCGATCTTAGATGACCCTTAGACAACCTATGGCTATTCCAATTAGGAAAGCCAAGAGAAGATACAAGCAAATATTTTACCTTATCTGACGTCAAGATGAAGTATCGTTCACTTGGCATTATTTGTTGGAAGAGACAAATTCTTACTCTCCTACCTTGCCAGCACTATGAGAAATATATATTTGCTAATGTTGTTAGGATATATATCTACCACACTCGAGAAAACACACTAGAAAGGTGAAGTTCCTTTGTGCCTCTAACTACCCGACACTCAAGCAAAACCTGTGTTGTTGGGAATTGTTGGGAACGAAATCGCTATAGAAATATGGGATTTCGTATACCATTTAAGTTCAATAACTTGAGGAATCAGCATTGGCAATGAAAAGAGACCTGAATAAGTCTGTTAGACAAGGTACAACTGGTTTACAGTGGATCAGTGCCATTCCTTTTATTTTAACTATCATTCCGCTTATCATATCACCTGTGTTGTTTCTTGAACTTGCTCATTTTACTTTCTGCTCATTTTTAGTTTATTTCACACCACACAACAAATATCTCTTCCAATGATTTGTCGTTCCTCCTTGAATTATGAAGGAATTTGAATATATAATTACGCGAGGAATTGTTTTAAGTTGATCAATGTAAGAACCTGCACCGTTAAATTAGGAATTTAATTAATTTAAATATCAGTTTATGAAATAATCCTATAATTGACGTAGGATAAATATTGGAAGACTTGAATAATTAATATGAGGGCTTAATAATATTGAAAGTCGTTTTTCTGATGAAAAGTGCAGATATCGGTTCTGCTTCACCGTATAACTGCGTACCGGTAAAGTATCCTGAAAAATTATAAAAAGTGTATGAATATTCATAGAATAATATTTAAGTCAAGAATATCAAGTTTGAAGTCATAATATTGAGTATTGGTGTCAGAACTAATACTGACTGCGTGAAAGCGCGTACCTGAAAAGTGTTGCGAAAAATTATAATAAAAATATGAAAAATCTTAGAAAAATGGCTAGGTTCAAATTATGAAGTTTGAGATTAAAATGATAAGCGTAGCTATTAGTGCAAATACAGACGCTTAAACTTAAGTGCACCTATAAATCATGGGCACAAAGCTCTAGGTCGGAAATTACATTGCTCCTACGTGAAATTGCTGAACCTCTTGGCTGCCACCTTCCTCTCCATTGCAAGGGTGGAGCTTTCCTCCATTTCCAAGCTCAAGTTCCCATCTTTTCTTCTTGAAATCCCTCCTCTATCATCATATATAGTCTTGTACCTAGCATTGGGGGGTGTGGGGAGTGTTTTCTTGGAAGGTTGAGGCTCTGTTTTCTGAGTGTGGGGGCTGCCTCCTTGGTTGTGGGAGTGTGAGTGTATTCCACCTCCATTGGAGCTTAAAGAACCAAGCTTTGGAGGGAAAGAAATTACCTTTGAGTGGTGATTTTCGTGCATCACTAAGGCAAAGGCTTAGGGCACTTCATTGATCATCAAAGGCTCTTCTTTTTCTGAGTTAAAGGACCCCAATAGGTATACCATGATTATTCCTCTTGAAAATCCATGATTTTAGCTTGTTTAAGTCACTAAAAGAGGGAACTTTGATTAATCAAGTTAAGAGTTGTTAATCTATGCATGTTTAATGTTTTTTAACATTTGTTTTTGAGAAAAACCGAACCTTGGATCATGAGAAGCCATTACCACTTCGGATTATGCAGAAAAATTCTTCAGATTGTTGTTCTGTCCGCGTGGTAATTGATTACCTTTCACTTGGTAATCGATTACCATGTGTTGTAATCGATTACTCTGTTTTGGGTAATCGGTTACCATGTGCAGTAATCAATTACCAAGTGTTTGGTAATCGATTACCACCTGTCAGAATGACCAGAAACTAGTTTTAATGCGTGGAAAAGTCCCCATTTGGGCATGAGGCCCTAGGAAGTCAGTGTTACTGTTTGGAACAGTAATACCTTTAATTGTGGGGCTTAATGCTTGATAATTATGAACTAGAAAAGATGTAAACGAAAAAGGAAACGTTATCATAATGTAATTAACTACTAGAGTTGGAATGTTGATATTGTTTCTATTATTAAACAGACCGTGAGTGGGCTGTTTGGTGATTGTGGGCTGTTGTGGACTCTTGACTTGGGATTGATTGCTTAACAAGTAAGCTTTCGTGTCCTCGGTTTTGCCCATTTTTAGTTCCACCATACCTCATGGACGGATGGTTTATATGCATGATGTGCTTTTATGAAATGATGATTATTGAAATGCTATTGAGCTGTTAAGTGAAAGTGCCTTATGACATGTCTGTGGTGTTCCACCTAAACGGTAAGCCTGAGTATGTAGCGTCATACAAGATGGTGATTCTATGAGTGGGTAGGTTGTAGACGTATGTAATTCCTGCATGTTCTCTGGCCAGTAGGATTTTGACACACATGACATGATTATATGTTGCATTGCACAAATTTGGAACTTATACTGTTTTACTGCTTTTGAACTTATATTGCACATGTAAGTGAGCTTGGGGTGGAGAGATCCTTGAGGACCCCTTGTCTTATTGGGATTTCTTTTAGAGATCTCACCCCGTCTTGGGGCACATTTCAGGTATAGGTACCTCAGGGGTTGAGACCTCTGGCGACAGGAGGCCAAAGCTGAGTTGATATGCATGTTGTTTATACTGTTATGCCTGGATGTTGATTTGTTGTATTGTCATTTTATGGTTATTTGAGCTGAGACTTTGTTGGGCCTTGTTGCCTTATTTGGTGAGCATGAGGGTTGTCCATGCCACACTGATTATACTATGTTTATTTAGACTTGTGTTGTATAATGAATCAGGATTTTGTCCGATTTACGTGTTGTAGTTCCGTGACTAGATACACATCTATATATGAGTTTATTCAGTTAGTTAATTATTGCAATTTACATACAGGCATTATTTTGAAAATGGATTAAGTAACCAACTTGGTTAATAATAATGACGTCATAATTGAAAAGAAATTCCGCATTTAATTAAGTTGCGCTTAATACGGTAATATGATAACAATTCGGGTATACATGAGGTGTTACAATCAGCACCTTTACCATTGTGATATCTGAGAACGACTAGCCAGAATAATTCAATACTATTAAACCATTCTTTTTATTCATTAATATAGCTTAAGATTCATATTAACAATACTTTCTCTGAGGAAACGATAATCTAGGCATTAAAACTTCCATTTATTACATGATGTGTGCATTTACTCAATTGGTCTTCATCTTGGGAACAAATTGAGCTTTCCTTTTTTATTGTAAGAGACCAACAGATGTTGCACCAAAGGAGGAAACATATCACATTGCCCCACTAGAACCTACAATCTTCTGAACCACAGATAAGTCCTGAATGCATTTCTACCTCTATTTTTTAGCTTAATATTATGAATCTTGATGACTAACCCATTGGTCTAAGAAAAGGGAAAAGGACTTGTAACCAACATCCTATTTCTCATTATTTCTCTTCTAAGAACTTTTTTGTGTAGCATAAAATTTTTATTTTAACACTATATTCCATTTCAACCCCAACATTAATGCATGAATTGAGTTCAAGCTAAGAATGATGAGATGAATGTCTTAGAAAATAATAAAATATGGGAAGTTATTGAAATGTCAAATGGCAAGAAAGTGGTAGGATGCAAATGAATTTATACTCTGAAATATAATTCTGACAATAATCTTCAAAAGTATAAGGCTTGATTAGTATTTAGTAGTCAAGAGTTATACACAAACCTATGCCATTGATTAAGAGAAAAATATTTACCCCAAACCCAAAGATTTGGAGCTTAGCCCCACCTTGTTAAAAAAATGGGACAAGTTTCACATATTTTACGGACTTAATCGAAATTGAAGATGAAAAAAATAAGTTAACCCTTTCATGCATTGATGTTTTGAATCCAAAAATGTGCACATTGGCTCCCAAAATGGGTTGAATACAAAAACCTTAACGCCTGACATTCGTTAAGCGGATACTTCATATGCATACAACACAGCAAAGATATCACGACCAAAACTAAAAACAAATCAATGATTTTTTATTTTTTTCAAAAACTCTTGATATTTCTTTAATGATATTTTTTTTAGGCATACAGTACAATTCATCATATAAACCAGAGACCAAACCTTGCAGTTCAGAAAATTGGGTAACGTGGAGTGCTAAGAACCGTTTTTTATACCTCCAAATAATCACAAACCAAAAAATCAAGTTAAAATTAAAACTTCAATTGAAATTATAAAAGATCAACGATTAAAGTACAAAACTGGTAGATTATCATTCTGCCTATTATCCCCTAGTCATCAGCTCTGTATTGTTTCCTACTATACATTTGGAAGGAACTCCTAACCCACAAGAAATGGTTAGAAACTAGACTAGTTCATTGTTGTTTGCGCATAGCATACTGTCAACCACCTTTTCTTGTATCGAAGGCCGTTGAACTATTTACCAGGCCATAGGAAACTCTACATTAGAAAACAACCAGCTGAATTGATGTCTGTACACCGAACAAAAACACTGGCATCAACTTCAAGGACTATCAACAGATTGTTCATCCAAAGACTCCTTGCAAGTCTCAACACATTCGGCTGCAGTGCCAGCAGATGAGGAAGGAGGGGAAGATTCTGAGATAATATTATGCCTGACTGAATTTTTTAGTTCTGCAACAAGCAACTCACGGATTTTCACTCTCAAACTGGATGCCTCTTCAGGTTTGAACCATCGCTTGCCAAACTGTAATCGGTAAGTATCAATCAAGAAAATTCATTACTTGAAATGAAAAAGCAACCAGACGAATTACCATAGCTAAATCTTTCTTTTTCAGTCTTTCCGGCGCCTCCTCCATGAAACGCTCAATGAAGTACAGTACAAAAAGACCACAATCATACTCATTCTTCTGTTGGGGAACCTGGTGCAAAGCATGTGTAAATGCAACAAGTAGAAAGCATTAATGGACAGCCCACAATTTTGAAAATTCAGAAAAAAAACATTACTGTAAGTGCTGAAAATACTGCATAATAGTTTTGCGGCTTTCTTTCCTAGCATCAATTTTCAAGAACCTAACTTCAATGAGCTGGAGCCACAGTCAACTTATTCAAACATCAACATCAATAATACTTTTATCCCAAATTAATTGGGGTCGGTGGTAGATGAACCCAAATAAAAGCTACAGATAGATTGAAAAAAGATAAAAATGAAATTTAAGTGTGTGTGTGTGTGTATATATATATAACGAGATAAACAATTAAAAGGAAAAGTATATTAAGGTAAACTAAAGATAGAATCCAAGTGTGGTGGCACAGTTGGTAGCATGGGGACTGAGTGGTGGGATAGAACTTCGGTTCGAATCCCACCAACACCATCTGGGGAGGGGCATAAGTACCGTAATCCTTGGACTCGCACCCGAACTTTGGATTAGTCCCATAGGCGGCTCAAAGAGTCGAACCCGTGGGGATACCGGAGGGTTCTGATTCACCTCAAAGAGGTAATTAGGATCAGTTTCCAAAAAAAAAAAAAAAAAGATAGAGATATATAGGAGGGCAAAAATCATGTAAGAAAGTAAGACAAAAAAATAAATAAAAGAAATAAAAAAAAAATTAAAGTAAAAATAAAATATATATATATATATAAATATAAAAGTAAAAATAAAAAAGGGTGTGGAAAAAATAAATAAATAAGAAAAAAAAAGGAAAAGAGATAAAGGAAAAGAAGGGAAAAATAAGGAGAAAAGGAAAAGAGATAAAGGAAAAGGGAAAAATAAGGAGAGGGGGGGGATGAAGAGGAAAAGGACTAAAAAGGGACTATCTAGATTCTTATAGCTTTTCTCAATTTCGTTCTAAGACACATCGTCCGCCAATCTATATCTCCACTCCATCAAGTCTTGTTTTACTACCTTCCCCCAAGTAAATTTTATTGAAATAAGAAGAATTGTTTTTCTGTATTGATTCTAAATGATTTACACTTATATAGGGAGATTTATACAAGAGAGAATGAGAAAGAATTGATAAGGATGACTCAACAACGAGTCATTAGTCCTATCCACTAATTAATAGAAAATAAAAACAGAAATATTTTAATTCTAATTTCCTACACTCTCTCAAGTTGGGAGGTAAATGTTGATCATTCCCAACTTGTCAATCAAGTCTTCAAAGTTCAAAGGCTGGTCGGTGTAGACCCTTAGTGAGAACATCTGCAGTCTTCTCTTTGGTAGGAACATGCATCATACGCGCACTTCAATCATCTAATTTTTCTTTGATGAAGTGGCGATCAACTTCCACGTGCTTTGTTTGATCATGGTGCACAAGATTTTGAGCAATGCTGACAGCTGCCTTGTTGTCACAATATAGTTTTATTGGTAGGGAATATGAGATCTTCAACTGTTGAAGAAGTCTTCTCAACTAGATTCCTTCACAAACTCCATGAGCTAAAGCTCGAAATTCTGCTTCAGCACTACTTCTTGCAACCACTGTTTGCTTTTTGCTTCTCCAAGTAACAAAATTCCCCATACATAGGTGCAATAGCCTGAGGTAGATCTCTTGTCCACTGATGAGCCTGCCCAATCTGCATCAGTGTAGATTTCAATTGTCCTTTCATACCCCTTTGTAAAGAATAATCCTCTTCCTAGAGTGTTCTTGAGGTATCTAAGCACCCTATAGACTGCACTAAAATGTTTCTCCTTGGGTGAGTGCATGAATTGACTAATCATACTCACCGCAAATGCAATGTCAGGTCGCGTGTGAGATAAATAAATTAGTTTGCCAATCAATCTCTAATATTGCTCTTTATCCACCTCATTCCCATCTTCAATACCTAACTTGGTATTAGGTTCTACAGGTGTCTCAGCAGGCTTACACCCTAACATTCCTGTTTCCAACAAAAGATCTAGAACATATTTCTTTTGTGTGAGAGTGATGCCTGTTTTGCTCCTAGCAACTTCCATACCAAGGAAATATTTGAGAGTTCCAAGATCCTTCAGTTCAAACTGAGCTGCTATATACTTCTTCAAGGAGTTCAATTCCTCACTATCGTCACCCGTAAGAACTATATCATCTACGTACACAATAAGAATAGCAATTTTACCATCCTTAAGAGTGTTTGTGGAAGAGAGTATGATCAGTCTGTACTTGAATGAAGCCTCTTCCTTTGACAGCTTGTGTGAATTTGTCAAACCATTCTGTAGAAGACTGTTTCAACCCATATAGAGACTTTTTTATTTTACACATCGATCCATTTCCCTTTTCAAAACCAGGTGGAGGATCCATATAGACCTCTTCATGTAAGTCACCATTAGGAATGCATTCTTCACATCTAACTGTTGCAGAGGCCAATCTAGGTTGGCAGCAAGTGATAAGAAAACTCGGATGGTATTGACCTTAGAAACTAAAGCAAAAGTCTCATGATAATCTATCCCATGAGTCTGCGTGAACCCCTTTGCAACCAATCTTGTCTTGTATTTGTTGATGATATTATCTGCATTGAATTTTATTGTAAACACCCATTTGCATCCTACTGCCTGTTTTCCATTTGGTAAGGTCACTATCTCCCAAGTTCCATTTCTTTCTAAAGCATTCATTTTTTCAAGGACAACATCCCTCCATTTTTTATCATTGAGAGCCTCATGTATCTTTCTCGGTATCTTTGTACTATCCAACATAGTATTGAAAGCACGGAACCCTGGGGACAACTTTTCATATGAAATATGATTAGAAATATGATGAGTAGTACAAGATCGAGTACCTTTTTTGAGAGCAATGGGCAAGTGTAGATCATTTTTATCATGGCACTCAAGTGTTGGGGTGCTAAAACTAGAACTTGGTTCAGAATCCTGCCAGTGTAGAGGCTCTGGGTTATTCACACTTTGAGGAGGCTTTCGCCTGCTATAAACTTGTCCCACTTTGAGGAGGCTCATGATGATGAGGATTCTGTAGCTCCCCCTGTTTCCAAAATTAAGTAGGTTCCCATGACTGATCTTCATCTGCTATTAGCCTATTAATTAGTGGATAGGACTAATGACTCATTGGTGAGTCATCCTTATCAATTCTTTCTCATTCTCTCTTGTATTAATCTCCCTATCAGTCTAAATCATTTAGAATCAATACAGAAAAAACAATTCTTTTTATTTCAACATAGTATCAGAGTCTTCATCTCCCCCCACTTTCTCTTGTGGAATTTTCTTATTACAAGTAGGTGAGTCTGTGCATTGTCCATCCTTCAAGTCCAATGGGCTTTCGTGTAAGATGACGTGTTAAAGAATAGTATAAACCATTAAAAAGACCCTCACCCACCAGCTTAAGCTTTTGGGTTGAATTGGTTCTTTACAAATTTCGATCTACCTCTACCTCTCTTTGTATCGAACTCTTGGTAACAGACTTTTGTTCTTATGGGAGCATCTAGGAGCCTTCTCATTACGTGCCCAAACCACCTCAATCTATGCTCTCTCATCTTTTCAGCCACCAGTACTAGTCAAATATCTTCATTTCTTATCTTATTCATCCTCGTATAACCACACATCCACCTTAACATCTATAAAGAATCATTTCTACCCAAAAGCTTAAGCTGGTAAGTGAGGTTACATTAATGGTTTTATATAACTCTAACATGCCCCCTCACATAAGAGTTCATTGGGCTTGAAGGATGGATAATGCACAAACCCACCTAACTTTGCTAACAAACTCCACAATACTTAATTAATTATGAATTAAATAATCTACCAAAAAAAAAAAATTATGAATTAAATAGGGAGGGGGGTAAGGATCGAACTCGTGACAGAGAGGCTCTGATACCATATAAAGAACCATTTTAACCCAAAAGCTTAAGATGATGGGTGAAGTTACATTAATGGTTTTATATAACTAACAACATCCTCATTTCTGCTACTCTCATTTTATGCTCATGTTGCTTATGTGCTGGCCAACATTCAGCTTCATATAATATTTATTAAAAGTTCCATATAACATTTATTAAAAGTCTAAGGTTAAAAAGAGCTTTTTCTTGGAGTTATCAGAGACTCGGTTTTCTGGCTGTTCACCAAACAAGGTTCTAAAGAAGGATTTCACTTCTTCAAATGTGATCACTAAGCGAAAGTCTTAGGAATTTTAACACTATCAGCAATCTATTTCATTCTGGACAGCAACAATCTGTGAAAAGAGCAAGCATTTCTAGCATTTACTAAAGGTCAAATATTCATTTTTAATAACAAATGGTAAAAATAAATATATCATCAAATAACTATCGTAGTTAGCATCAAACTATCAATAGCACGTGATTATAGATTTACAGCATACGAATTTACCGAGATGACTTGATCTTCAATTCTACGAGGAAGGCGCTTCCATATTCTGTCTGCAATTGAAATATCCAGAGACACACGTTCTCGATCTAAATAGTTCTTTTCTTCAATCAAATAGCTGCAGAGCATAACTTCACATCATTAAGTTTGATATATAAATTAATGATAAATGCCTAGAAACAGCCAATCAGAACATAGTAATATAAATGGACTAACAAAGCAAAGTTGTAAGAACAGGACTGGGTTTCAACCTAGTAAAATAGCCAGGCTGCCAGCCTAGTGTTCCAGCTGAAAATTGTCTAAGAAAAAAAAAAAAAGGCAAATCCCAATACCCTAGGCTCCCTGACTTGTTCGTACTATTCTCAAAGGATGACGTAAGATTGCTCATCTTAAAGGCCCTATTCCTGCCAAAACAGATTCCAAGTTTGCTGAGTGGGATGATGACGACTTGGTTGTGGAACTCTATGAACCCTGAAGTGAGTCAGCATTGCATGTTCTTATCTACCGTCCTTGAGATTTGAGGTTCTTCGATCAATGTACTCCATGAAACAGGATGTTGCCACATGCTATGAATTGAGGAATAAGATATTTTCTACTAGGCAGGGCTCTCTCTCTCTCTAACAAAATATTATGGCATTATCGAGTTGGATCAATACAAGAGCTTGTAGCTGAAATGCATTGAGGATGCCACCGCCCTTGTAGCACCGGTTGAAAGGGATCGAATCCTTGATTTCCTTGCAGGCCTCAACTCTGAATATGATCCTATTCGGGTTCAAATTCTCGGTAAAGAAAAACTACCCTCTCTTTCTGAAGTGTTTCACACTGTTAGGGGAGAAAAGAGTCGCACGACAGTCGTGATGGATGCCAAGCTGCCAGAGGGATCAGTTATGCTATTATCTTTTTGCCCTAGTTATGGATAAGCTAACAAAAAATATCCAAGACAAGGTGCCATGGTGTGTGCTTATTGTAGATGATCTTGTGCTTATTGATGAGCCTAGGGCTAATGTTAGCAATAAATTAAAATTATGGATAAGCACGTTGGAGTCTAAAGGATTTACGTCAAGACAAAGTAAAAGTAAAAGTGGATACATGAAATGTGAGTTTGTTATGGCAAAATGAGGAAATCGAGATTTCATGCATATGCAAGGACAAGAGGTTTCCAATAAATATGCTTTTAGATATCTGGGATCAATATTACAAAAAGGGCATGAGAGATTAATGAGGATGTAAACCATAGAATTAGAGCAGATTAGATGAAATAGCATAGTGAATCAGGATTTTTGAGTGATCACAAAATCCTATAAGGCCAAAAGGAAAATTTCATAATGAGCATAAAATGGGAGTATTGGAAATGAGAATGATAAGGTGGATATGTGGTCATACAAGAATAGATAAGATAAGGAATGAAGATTTCGACAAATGGTAACAACGGTACCCATGGATGAAAAGATGAGAGAACATGGATTGAGATAAAGGAATGAAGATTACGACAAATGGTAACAGTGGTACCTGTTAGAATAGTTCAGCGTATATATAATAGAATAGTCTCACATCTTGTGAGCTTAGCCCATTAGATCTTTTAGTCTCTTTAAACAAAGAGTTCTTATACATTGTAACACACCATTATTCAATATACAATTATTCTTTAATCTCAAGTTGGTATCATAGCTATTTGTTCTGGGGATCCGCTTCCGCTAAAACCCTAAGCCCACTGCTTGAGTGTTCTCTTTTACTTTGTTGTGCGTCCTTCCGGCAAATCATCATCAGTCATGTGACCCTCCACCAAATCCTCTATGTCGTGCGTCCTTCCAGCTTGTTTCTTCAACCGTCAGAACCACCGATTGCTGCTAGAACCACCATTCGTCACTGTTCACAGCCACCGGAGTATTGTTCTGGCGTCAATTTCAACCGAAAAGCCTGAAGATTAGAGCCCTTTCTCTTCGGCGACCAAGTCTGTGGAAAACCCATCACCAAAGGAGTCCCCATGCGCCCTCACGCTCGGCTCTTTCTCCATGCGCGTGTTGCTCACGTGCCACCATTCACCGGCGCGTGTGCACTGTTCTGGCGTCCTTTTAGGGTCGTTCCAGGACAGACTAGCTCGGTTTTTCCCCCCCTTTCCAGATCTGTGCTTGGTTCTTCGTGGGTCTCACTTTAGACGTGTGTTTCTTCTTGATTGGCTATCGTTTGCCTTCGTTTACGGCTGTTATATTTTGTCTTTAATGGCAGCAGCGTCCCTTGATCTCTCGAAGGTTAACTCTCCTTCTCCTCCTGCCAAAACTTCCTCAGGAATCATCTCTACTAATGTTGGGCTCATTACCTCTTCCAAACTGAAGGGTTCTGATAATTACAAAAATTGGGCCATCTTTGTTCATGCCTGGTTCTTTGGATAGGGGCAAGCTGTCATCTCACTGTTCCATCTACTGATATCCCTAAGGCTGAGAAATCTGATTGGGAAAGGATTGATAATCAACTTCTGAATATTCTTTGGCAGTCTATTGATCCAATTGTTTTGGATATTTTCTATTATTTTCAGAGATGCTATGAAATGTGGGAGGAAGCCAAACGCCTCTACACTAATGATATCCAGTAGCTCTATTCTATTATACCTCAACTCATGAATTTGCGCAAATCATCTGATATTCAAATGGAAACATATATTAGCAAAAGTCGATATTTGATGCAGGCGTACTTGAACATGTTGCTTTACCCTTCTAATGCACCTGTATATCGAAAACATACATAGGTGTCCTAGAGACAATCTGAGAGTCAGATGGACCCATGTACTTATTTATTGTTATGAATAAAAGTATTCTTTATCTTGTTTCATATTGCATGTCTCAAATATTGAATACGAGTAACTGGATAAAGCCCTTGGAATGGAACGGATGTCACATTGAGGATCTGTGATTGGGATCATAATCAGAAGGGCTCAATGACACCACACGTCCATTGCTAGAAATATGTTCCTAGATTAGAGATACCAATAATGGGCATTGGTGATCTCGGGTAAGACTAGCACGACTCAGCTACTTGCATGGAGATGCAAGGTAAAGTCCTCGTGAGCTACAGACATGGAAATGTCTTAGCTGACTCATGGGTGGACCTATTGGAGAATAGCTCGCACTAAATTGACCCACAAAGACACTACAAGGAAATCTCACAGATAGTATCAATAGATAATGTCTTTTATTATTTGGGTGTGTCTTTCTTTAGACCTGACGTTGTCATATAGTCCTGTGCTATGGAAAGCTTGCTTTGATTGTATACCTTGTCTGCCTGAAACATGGAGACTCGTAGGTATACTCTTGGGCATGTCCTAAGGACTCAGGACTAGTGTGACAAGCTGAAGGAATTTGTCAATCTCTGTGAGAGATTAGGTTATCCGTAGACCGTGAACTCGGGATGACATTTACGGGACTCGGGAATCTATACATAGTAAAGGAGTCATGAGATGGCTCGCTCTTTAGAGTCCGTAAATAAAGATTCCCTGTTTCGGCAAAAGCTAACCCTAGACCGCAGATGTTAATACGTTTTCCTTGACCTAGGTCAATAGGACGGATAACCGAGACGAAAGGACAATTCGCACGGTAACCAAATAGGTATAACAGGTTGATTATTCGATGAACTCAACTAGCTCTAGGACAACAAAGCATTGCTAGTGCTCTGTGCTGTCATTAGATGGATTTATGTCAGTGGCTATGTTGGGCCTGATGGGTCACACACAAACACCTTAAGTTGTCTTGAATTCGAGCATCTATGGTTTAGGCCCAATAAGGGATAATGGGCCTAAGTTGGTAAAGCCCACATATTGGGCTAAGAGATGATAGGTAGCATCATGGGCCAAGTTGAACTTAATCCATGATGTAACCTAATTAATTTAAATTTTAAATTAAAAAAAAAATTTAAATTCTAATTTCAAATTCGAAATTCAAAATTAGAATTCTAATTTCGAATTTCGAATTTGAAATTTGAATTTAAATAAAATTAATTTAAATTCTAATTTTGAATTTCGAATTTGAAATTTGAAATTTGACTTTAAATATAGTCATTAAATTAGATTTAATGAAAATGGAGAAAATAAAGGAAACCAATCAATTAGATTGATTGACCAAAATTAAGAAAATCAATTAATTAAATTAATTGGCTGAAATTAGAGAAACCAATCAATTGGATTGATTGGATAAAATTAAGGAAACCAATTGGCAGAAATTGGGAAAACCAATCAATTGGATTAATTGGATAAAATTAAGGAAATTACCTAATAAGATTGGGATTTGATGAGGACGCTGATTTGACTTAGTCTTAGGTTAATGAGGCGCCACATATATATATAGCCCCTCTTCTTCCTTAATTTTGTAACTCTTCTTCTCTAATTTTCTCCGCTGAAACCCTAGCCAACACACATCAGTGTGGTGGTTATCTCTCCCTCTCTCGGAATAACCAAAGGCACCACTCACTCTCTGTTCTTCTCGAGTCTAGCAACCTCCATTGAAGGACATTGGGCATTCGAAGAAGCGTTCTTCTCTTACAAGACAACAAGGTGGTGTGGATTTCCATCGGAGGACTCGTGTTCTTCAAGTATGAAGAATTGATCAAGAACGCATCTAATCAGGAATACTTATTCGAATAAAGGTATCAACTTTAAACCCCTAACATGTCTATTGCATGATTCATGGGTTGAACATGATTGAGGGTGGGCAAAGGTTGCTTCTTCCGCACAATTTTTTTTTTCATGGCCTACAAAAGGCTACTTTCAAACTTCTCTTTATGGTGATTGGTGACCACTCTTTTTGGTCTTCCCGAGGAATATGATGTTGTCTGTGACACTATCTTGACTAGCTATGAAGCACTGATACTCCTTAAATTTTTTTCCAACGTATCAGATACGTGTATCGGACACGTATTGTTTGGTAATCGACATCCTGTATCATCGAGAACGTATCGAAAACGCCGTATCGGTGCTTCATAGTTGACTAGTGGGGATCCTAGTCTATCACTGACCTACCAATGCCTCTTGAATCTCAACAAGAAACCAATTCCTGCTCCTAATTCATCTTTTGTTGTTGATTCCACTACTCGTTTCCCGAAATGACACTCGCGAGAATAGTGGACGTGGTTGCGGTCGTGGCCAGGGCCCGAGCGAACATGGTCAGAGACCTCGTTATAATTATTGTTAGCAACTTGATCATTTTGAAGATCATTGTTACCCGAAGTATCCTCACCTGCGACTTTCTCCTGCTGCGAATATAGCTCAGTCAGACACTGCGTCATCAGGTTCAATTTCTCTCTCACCTGCGGACTATGTTACACTGTAGACTCATCTCAAGAAGGCTTCTCCTCAATCTTAGCCTTCTGCTCCAGATACTGGTAATCTCGTTGCCTATGTTTCTCATTCTACATCACTTGGCCCATGGATATTTGACTCAGGTGCTACCGATCATCTCTGTGGTAATAAGGAACTCTTTACATCTCTTACTTATTCTGATCATTTACCTTCTTTTACCCTTGCTGATGGAACCAAAGCCCCAGTTCGTGGGATTGGACAAGCTCGTCCAACCTCTACCTTGACATCTATCTATTACATTCTTGGCATCCCTTATAACTTAATTTTTGTTAGTAACTTGGTCCACTCCCTCACTTGCACCATTACTTTCTCTAACCATTCTGGAAGACGATTGGAGTGGGTCGTGAGTCACCGGGGCTTTACTATCTGGTTGTGCCTCATCCTTCAGTGACATGTTCTCTCATAGAATCTCAACTTATCCACAATCGCCTCGGTCACCCAACCCTTTCAAAGTTACAGAAGATGGTTCCTCTTTTATCCGGTCTTTAGTCTTTACATTGTGTGTCGTGTCAGCAAGGGAAGCATACACGCTCCTCCTTTGCCAGTGAGTCAATAAACGAGCTGATACTCCTTTCTCTCTTGTTCATTCAGATATTTGGGGTCCAAGTCGTACTTTGTCTGTTTTAGGTTTTCGGTATTTTGTTACCTTTATTGATGATTATTCCCGTTGTACCTGGATTTATTTAATGAAAAACTGTTCTCAGTTATTTTCCATTTATAAAAAGTTTTTTGCTGAGATTCATACTCAATTTGGTGTTTCTATTCGTATTCTACGTAGTGATAATGCTAAGGAATATGTTTCTTTTGACTTTTCTAATTTCTTGGCTACACAAGGTACTTTACATTAAACCACTTGTCCTCACATTCCACAACAAAATCGGGTGGCTAAACGTAAAAACATACATCTTATTGAAACTGCCCGTACCCTTCTTATTCATATGCAGGTTCCTCTTCACTTATGGGCGGATGCCGTACTCACCTCTTGTTTTCTCATCAATTGTATGCCTTCATCTGTGCTCAACAATGATATTCCTCATAATCTATTGTTTCCAAATGTTCCTTTTTGTCCTCTATCTCCACATGTCTTTGGTTGTACCTGTTTTGTTCATGATCTCACTCCTGGTAAGGACAAGTTAACATTCAAAGCCTTTAAGTGTATCTTTCTTGGTTATTCTCGTATTCAAAAGAGTTATCGTTGTTATTCTCCTGATATTAAGCGTTATATTGTTTCCGCTGATGTCACTTTCCTTGATCAACAACTCTTTCATTCTATCCCGTCTCAGTTGTCACAGGTTGATCAGGTTCTTCCTGTTCTTTTTCTTGACTTGTCTTTACCAGCTGCAAGTGACTCTCTCCCAGAGGAAAGACCTCTTGCCTCCATCCCTGCAGACCACCTTTTTCCCACCTATCAGCGTCATCAGAAAGTGCCTCCTGTGGACTTGACCCTGGGTGACTCATCACCTTCTCCAGTCATCTCTTCCCCTCCGGCTCCTTTGCCAGAGACTCTTCCCATTGCCCAAAGAAAAAGTATACGTGCTACTTATAACCCTTATCCTCTTTATACCATTTTAAGCTATGACCGTCTTTCTACTTCTCATTACACCTTTATTTCCAATCTTTCTTCTATGTCTATTCCTAAGACCACAGGTGAAGCACTTTCTCATCCAGGGTGACGCCAAGCGATACTTGATGAGATAACTGCTCTTCATTCCAATGGCACTTAGGATCTTGTTCCTCCTCCTCTAGAGAAGTCTATTGTTGGTTGTCGGTGGGTCTTTACTGTCAAGGTTGAACCTGATAGCCATGTTGACCGTCTCAAGGCGCGCTTAGTCGCCAAAGGTTTTACTCAGATCTTCAGCCTTGACTATAGTGACATGTTCTCTCCTGTCGCTAAGATGGCGTTTGTCCGAATGTTTCTTGCACTCGCTGCTGTTTGTCATTGGCCACTCCTTCAACTAGACATTAAAAATGCTTTTCTTCATGGTGATTTACAAGAAGTTTACATGGAGCAACCACTTGGGTTTGTTGCTTAGGGGGGGGGAGTCTGGGATGGTGAGCAGACTTTGTAAGTCCTTATATGGCCTCAAGTAATCTCCTCGGGCATGGTTCAACCGTTTCAGTTCTGCCGTTCAGGCTTTTGGCTTAATCCGCAGTAAGGTCGATCATTCTGTTTTATAGGTTCACATCTCCTGACAAATGCATCTATCTGTTAGTCTATGTCAATGACATTATTCTCACGGGAAGTGATCAAGCTGGGATTCAGTTAAAACAGTATTTGTTCAGTCAATTTCAAACAAAGGATCTTGGTAAGCTTTGTTACTTTTTAGGGATTGAGGTGGCACAGCCTAGACAGGCATTTCTATCTGTTAAAGGAAATATGCCTTAGATATCCTAGAGGAGACTAGTATGTTGGGGTGTAAGCCGGTTGATACAACAATGGGTCCTACTATCAAATTACTACCCGGACAAGGAGAGCCATTATCTGATCCTGGACATTATCAGAGGTTGATTGGGAAGCTTAATTATCTCACTGTGACTAGACCGAACATTTCTTTTGTTGTTAGTGTCGCTAGTCAGTTCCTTGACTCTCCTTGTGATTCTCAATGGGATGCTGTTGTGAGGATCCTCCGGTACATCAAAAGAGCACCAGGGAAAGATTTATTATATTCAGATCAGGGAAATACAGAAATTTGTGGTTATTCAGATGCAGGTTGAGCAGGATCACCCTCAAATAGGCGCTCTACTTCAGGCTATTGTGTCTTTTTTAGGAGGAAACCTAATTTCTAGGAAAAGTAAGAAACAAACTGTTGTTGCCCGATCGAGTGCAGAGGTCGAGTATCGTGCAATGGAAGTTGCTACCTGCAAGCTAATCTGGTTAAAGCAGTTGATTCGGGAGCTCCATCTTTGTGAACAAAAACAGCCCATGACACTCATTTATGACAATCAAGTTGCGCTACATATATCCTTTAATCCTGTGTTTCATGAGAGAACCAAACATATAGAGATCAATTGTCATTTCGTTCGAGAAAAGATTCAGTCAAGAGAAATCAAAACGGCATTTGTCAACTCCAATGATTAACTCGCTGATGTCTTTACTAAAGCTCTTAGAGGTCCTCGAGTTGAATACATTTGTAACAAGTTAGATGATTACAATATATATGCACCGAGGGGGAGTGTTAGAATAGTTTAGTGTATATATAATAGAATATTCCCCCATCTTGTGGGCTTAGCCCATTAAGTCTTTTAGTCTCTTTAAATAGAGAGTTCTTGTACATTGCAACACACCATTATTCAATATACAATTATTCTTTAATCTCAAGTGTACCAATGGATGAAAAGATGAGAGAACATAGATTGAGATAATTTGGACACTCTTCGAAGACCCCTAGATGATCCCGTAAAAACAAAAGTTTGTTATCAATAGAAGGATACAAAGGGGAAGAGATCGGTCGAAACTAACTTTGGGAAAAGTAGTAAAACAAAATTTAATGAGGTGGAAGACAGATTTGCGTACGATTTTCCTTTGGACAGATTGGAGGAAAGCTATAAATATTGTAAAGGGGTAGACAGTTATTTCTTATGATTCACATGGCCCTTTTTAAGCCTTTTTTTCCTATATTTATTTATTACTTCTCTCTTATTTATTTTCTTTTCCCTCAATCTTATCGACCCTAACTAATTTGGGATAAAAATGATGTTGATGTTGAATAATGGAAATGGCAATAATGGAATTCTAAACCACTTGGTCAGTCAGACTGTAACACCATGTCATGAACTAAACACATAAGAAGTTTTATTTTACATCTCTGACAATTCCCATTAGCAAATAATATATTGAGATATTTGCCAATACTTCTCTATAAAATTGACAAATAAAATAAAAAATAAAAAATGATTGCCTTAAAATACAAAGACTTCATCATATTTGCTGCTTACAAAAAGACTTTATCACATATGCTGCTTTTAAGAATACCTCATCGTGAATTCTGCTTAGGATCAATCTCGCCAACCCTCACAACCAACATAAAAACATATTTAGACCACATAATAGCAGGGAAGTGGCAAGAAATGTTTAAGAGCTAGTCACTAGAGCATGGATGAACAGAATGCCACATGGTTAATGGGATACAATTATAAAAGCGCTTCTTTTTAGTCTCACCTTTTAATATTATCAAAAACTGATCTACTAGAGTGAAGACCCAAAGAATCCAAATGAAGTATGATTGGCCCCGATTCATCTTCTTTGTTCGGGATACAAATAATGATCAAGCTCCAGTGAAGACTGAATACATTAAACATCATAAGTAATAAACCCAGAAATGAGTAGAGGGACAAGGCAGACAAAGATATAAAAAGACCCTCATGTCAAATACAAATATTAGGCAGGAAGTGCACACTAGAATAAAAGCATAGACAAATAAGTATAAAAGTTTACACTTAAAACAATCCACATCCTTAACTTATTCTTCTAGCCAGCTTTTCTGTACCCACGGCCACTATTTCTTCTTATAAGAATATTATTATATGGCAGAAGAGGAGACTTAGAAGAGATATACCTAAGCCCCATAACCATCCACAAGAAGCCCCCTAACCATGAGTTGAACACTACAAACAAGCAAAATAAACATACTCCTGGAAAAAATTTGATTTAAGCCTCTGATTCCAGAAAAATCCTGGCATTGCTTTATATAAGTTGATTTTCCTTTATAACCATCCCAATTCTCCATTTTTTTGTTTCTCTAGATCTACTGTATTAAAATGACATGGAGATACATGTACCTTGAAATTGGTAAACCAACCATATCTTAGTTAATTGAAGTCATCCTACTAGCCACTAGCCAGACTAGCATTCAATGGAAGTTAGATGCATCTGATACAGAAGATTAACTGATACATAGTTGAATTTACATGTTTGAAAACTCAATTCAATGCTAAAAATGAAAGTTTTCAATACGAAAGATGATTTACAGGTGTTTGCTTGATAACTACCAAAAATGAATTAACATGATCAAGTGCTGAAAACGTTCAGCACATCAGGTCAATCAATGCCTTAAGCAGCAATTCTTTCCTTATTTAAATTATTAAATGGCATCAGCTTCCATTAGAATAGCACCCTTTATCTTATTTAAATTCTTGTTTCCTACAATACATATTTATCATGTGAATATTATTTTCTTCAGATAAGAAACTAATTCAATGGAAAGCACAAAAAGAACTTCCCACCATTTACAAGAAATTATCATTTTGAAACAAAATTTCACTGCTAACAAAAACACTTACTCCTCATGAATTGGAATCAAAACATATGCCTTCTGAAAAATATTTACACCCTTCCACCACCTTCTGAACTTTGCAAAGATCGTTTCTCTGTCACTTTCCTGGATATTGCAATGGAAAATGAATTAGAGCAAGTTCTAAATGAAGTACAAAAAGAAGGGAATGTGGGGGATGCAAGTGGAGAAATTAACTTTAACAACAAAAGCATCTTTAAAACTACTAGAGAACCGACCAGACAAATTCTCATATTCATATTTTTCCCCCAAAAGCTCCAAGACTCTTATCTATTCAAATGTTTGTAAAATAAATTGTTCTGTAAAATGTTAATTAAAGTTATTCATGTCAGAAATATAGGCATTAATGTAATTAAAAATCAGAATAAATTATTGTTAAGAATTATTTTAACCCAAAAACTTTAGTTAGTTAGGTGAAGGCTATATTAATGGTCTTATATTATATTTCTCTAATATGTCCCCTCACACAAGAGCCCATTGGGCTTGAAGGATGATCAATGCCCAAGCCCCTCCTACCTATGCTAAGAAACTCTATGCTATTTAATTATTGATTAATAGAATGGGGGCGTTGAGGATTGAATTTGAGACCATTTAGTCATATATTAAGAATCATTTCAACCCAAAAGCTTAAGTTGTTAGGGTGAAGATCGCATTAATGGTTTTATATTATATTTCTCTAACAATCATTTTCAATCATTAATCTCCTTTTTATCTCTCCATTATCCTTCTAAATTTTAACTAAACTTCTTTTCTTAACACCACTGACCACACCATTGGCTTTCTATTTTCTCACTCTTTTCTTATATCTGTTATCCACTTATCCCTCCCGCTTTCTATTCTTCAGTTTACTTTACTTTTAGGCACGATTTCACATGCATTCTAATCTGTGAATCAGAAGTAGTAGTTGTCCTAAATACCTACAGCACAAAAAAGCAACAAAGGAAACTTGCTATAAAACTACAAAATGATTATACATATGTAAAAGTTACTTGACTCTGGTGCCCAAGAAGCTGTTATTGAGTCAGCAATTTACATGTTTGGTGATGAGTTACATTTAATCTCAAAATATACCTTCAAAGTCATCAAGCAAAACAAATATTTAATAACAAAAAATAATAGCACCAATAACTTATCAACCAGTAGTCAAACCAGTCAACCAGCAAAGGGCTTACAATGTTTGGACTTTGGAATGGAACAAACAGTAATGCATTGTATCATAAAGATTGAGTCTGCTTACTGAAAGAAAAATCAAATAATTACAGCTATGAATTTGCAGGAAGATAATTAAGTACCTTGTAGGAAACAGCTTCTTTAAGCTTCTTGTAGAAATATGTATTGAAAATATGGTAGTCAGATAACGATCTATTTGTTAGAGATGCTTGCTGCTGTAAATACCTAGCCAATTAAAAATGTCATAAGTAGAGAGTGCAATAACTAAACATGCAAAATATGTCAAAGGACAATTACTGTACTGCAGTATGATTCAAGTTGTCAGCATGACTATTCTTAAAGGGACCACAAAAGCAATAACATAATTTAGTTCAATAGATAATAAAATAACAGTTAATGAAACAAAAGTAAGAGAGTAGTACCATCGGGTACAGGTGTAAATGAGTTGAGCTATTTGTGAATTTCAAGCTTGATTTACTATATGCTCGTGAGTCTCTCTCTCTCTCTCTCTCTCTCTCTCTCTCTCTCTATATATATATATATATATATATATATATAACAATTAATAAAATATTATTAACTAATAACAATTCATAATACAATTTTAGATAAAAAAGGATATAGATAATAACAATTAATTTTTATTAATTAATAAAATGAAATTCCATTGGACAATTTTGATTACCTAACTTTCATGTTCACAGATTCTCCTTTCTTTCCCTTTCTATTTTTACTTCATCTTTTAGCATAAAAATGCCTACTAAATACTAAATTAATAAAGTTTAAAATATTCGAAGAAGAGATTTGATAAAGGGAAGAACATAATCAAGCTACAAACGTACTAAACAAGCTGAACTCAAGTATCATAATAAACAAGTCAAACACAAGCTTTAAATTTGGCTCATTTTGAGCATATCTTTTTTCGCAAGCCACACCAAAACTTCAAGTATTCAGTTTGATTCAGACTTGCTTACACCCTAAAGGACAAGTAGATAATTCCAGTTTGGTAAGCTATAAGCCACCGGAGCATTATCAAATTCCTAGATGTTATGCTCACTGTAAAGAACCAATTCAACCCAAAAGCTTAAGCTTTTAGGTAAGGCTATATTAATGGTTTTATATATCTCAACACACCCCCTCACACGAGAGCCCACTGGGCTTGAAGAGTGGACAATGCACAGGCCCACCTACCTATGCGAAGAAAGAAATTCCACTTGAAAGAAAATGGGGGACGGTGAGGATCGAACCTGGTACACTGAGGCTCTGATACCATGTAAAGAACCACTTCAACCCAAAACCTTAAAGTGTTGGGTGAGAGTTTTTTTAAGGCTTTATATTATTCTCTAACACGCCCCCTCACGCAAGAGCCCTTTGGGCTTGAAGCGTGGATTATTGCATAGGCCCAATTTTTGATTTACCTTATGCTTATTTAATTCCACGAGTGGAGGGCGGTAATGATCGAACTCGTGACCTTGTGGTCACTGAAGCTCTGATACCATGTAAAAAACCAATTCAACCCAAAAGCTTAAGTTGTTGGGTGAGGCTATATTAATGGTTTTATATATCTCAACACTCATGAATACTCAACCAAGAATAGTTCATCGATCCAAGTTTCAACCCCATAGAGGGCACAATGCTATTATGTCAGAAGTTCTAAGAGACAAAGAATATATAATCTACTTGATAAGATTAAATAACTAATATTTTCATAACATTTTGAAAATTTAAGAGTAAATGTCCATATTGGTCTTCAAAAGATATACATGACATCATAAGTTCACAACGGATATCCAAATTTATACATGTAATCAATTGGGTCCTTCAATGTGACATTTTGGTCATCGAAAGATATACATGACATTACATTGGTCTGGGTATTTTCTTAGGTGTCTTGTTGGGGATAAATCTGGAAACTGGGATCTAGTTTTATCTACTGCTGCGTTTGCCAAGAATAGCTCTGTTAACAGGTCTATTGGTAAGATCACATTTGAGATTGACCGTGGTATATCCCAATGCCTGCCTGTTGATCCTGTGTCTCTGCCCATTTCATTTAGACCCTCATAATCTACAAAGTCTTTTGTTGCCTACATTTCTGATTTAAATGTTGACATTAGATGTAAGTTTGCTTTGAGTAGTGATAATTATAAAATTACTGCTAATGTGCACTTTAGAGCTCAGAATTACAATGTGAGTCACTATGTAATGGTACGCGTTCATCCAAAACTATAGCCCAAACATTCCTTTGAAGAGTTACATGCTAGAGTTGTTGGGCCTTTTCTTATTTAAAAAAATATAGGTCCAGAGCATATTTACTTGATTTGCCTAATAATAAGAATACTAGTCCAGTTTTTAATGTGGAGGATCTAACACCTTACAGAGGGACATTTCAGCCTCCCAGTTGTCTCTAGTCGTTTTTACAGTTTCCAAAGATCGAAGCTGTTTTGGATGGGGAGTACATCGGCTCTTCCATTACTCTTCTGAAGTGGAAGAACCGTCCTACTTCAGATGCTACATGGATAAACCACAAATTTAAACTGTTAGGTGAAGACCACATTAATAGTTTTATATTATACTTCTCCAACATGCCCCCTCATACAAAAGTTCAATGGGCTTAAAGAATGAACAATGCACAGGTCCTCCTACGTGAGCTAAGAAACCTCACTATATTTAGTTATTTATTAATAGAATACGGGCGATAAAGATCGAACTCATGACCACTTGATCACAGAGGCTCTGATACCGTATAAAGAACTAATCCAACCCAAAAATTTAATTTGTTGGGAAAAAAGGGAGCCCATGGTAGGGGAGAACTACCGTCAAATGGGCTAAACCCACCGCAATAAGTGGCTATACTCATCAAGTCCTTGGCTAACGTGGACCGGATTTACATCAAGGCTTTGGATACACTCATCAAGTCCTTGGCTCCACATCATGGGCTGGCCTATCAAACCCAAACACTAACCACCATATCTAAATACTTGGTTCATGTAAAGAACCAATTCAACCCAAAAGCTTAAACTGATGGGTGAGGATTATTAATGGTTTATACTATTCTCTAACTCGACCCTTCACACGAGAGCCCACTGGCCTTGAAGGGTGGACAATGCACAGGCCCACCTACCTGTGCTAAGAAAATTCCACAAAAGAAAGTGGGGGGCGGTGAGGATCGAACCCGGGACACGAGGCTCTGATACCATGTAAAGAACCAATTCAACCCAAAAGCTTAAGCTGATGGGTGAAGATTTTTTAATTGTTTATACTATTCTCTAACAGTTCACACAGGTCAACCAACTATTGGCTCTAATACCCAATGTTATAAAACCCAGCCCGGTCATTGACTCGGCCAAGGTACTAGGTCAGTGGGTCATTGGTTCAATCAGTAAGCCATTGGTTAAACCGCTAGAACCGGTTAAAAAATTAAAAATCCATATTTAATACTAAAAATTTTAAAGAAATCATAATACAGCCTAAACTAATGATGATATTATTATATGTATAAGAAACAAAAATTCATAGTTGTTGAGAAGTTCAAAAATACTCGAGATCATTGTTAAATTGCTCGCGAAGGTTTTTGATTAGCCTGCCAATACTTTCATCTGTAACCTTTAAGTCTATTTGCATAATAGACACAAATCTAAGTTTGCCTGGGCATTTCCAATGACTATACATAACTATATATATTAATGAAAAAGCTTAATCACCTTCCTTAATGCACAATACTGGGCATCAAGTAATGGTCTCTCCCCCCTACCTCTCCCCATTTTGGAAAAAAAAAAGCGTCTATGACATTCAAGAATTCTGCAGAAGAGCTTATAGCATGAAATTACTTTGATGTTTGTGGAGTAGATATATATTATATTCATAAAACATGGCAACCTTTGAACTGTCAAAAAGTAGTTTAACAATATATACAACGATTTAAATTTAAAAGCAGCTGCTTCATAGTTTGCAAGAGTTAGATTGCTTTAAACAATCAAAAAAAAAAAAAAACTACTCCATGTATTATTATAACATGTTGAACTATGATTACATTTTCTTTTCCTTTAAGATAATGAAGCTGAAAAAATGTCTTCTTAAATACAAATAGAGAAGCCAACATAAAGGTTGGCATTGAAAAACACTATAAAGATGACTACCCTTTAATGTATGGGAATGCAAACCATGGAGGGGGGCTTTCAGTTCTAGACAAGAGAAGCAGCTTTAATGTTCCATGGAAATGGTATATATTTCTCTCACTATGGGACTTCCTCACAAGAAAAACCACCCTATCTCAGGAACTCAACACAGATTTCTCACTTATATGGGAAGGAGACTTGAGATGGGAACCAAGTTATCTATCTTGGAAGTTTGATTTCCTCAACCAATTCTTGAAGACAAAGCTTGTATGTACACGTGGGAAGTTTCACATCGACCTGAACATGGAAAAACACACTTTATAAACCTTCTGAGAAGATTTATGTCAAGAAATTGGATGTGGGGCCAGCCTTGCTTGAAACAGGTTTTGATATGATTTATTGGGTCAACAGGTTTTCAGAAAATCGGGCGAGCCAACCCACTTATCACTGGTCCAAAATGGTTTGAGAGCATAACTGATTGAATAAATCACTAGGACCATCCAAATGACCAGTTTACCAGCTGGTCTTAGCCAGTTTTAATAACATTGCTAATACCATTGTTGGGTAATAGAGAGAACCCATGGTTTGGGAGAACTACTATCAAATGGGCTAAGCAACAAACCCATCACAATAACTAGGCTTGAACACCATATCTCAATCAAAAACCTTAAGATTTTAGGTTTATGGGTCCTTCCACTTAAATGGTCCTCACTTAGTCCATTTCTAACCAATGTGGGATTTCACTACTTACACTTGGATTTCCAACATGGATCATTATCTATCTTTTAACTCTCCGGAGAAAGAGTTCTTCTCACTCGGGGAGAATAATGTAGATTGACCGATTAGTTGTGTTATTTACTTGGGGTTTTAAGTTTCTCAATTAGGGTTTCCAATTTGAGATTATTTATTGTCATTTGTTATTTAGGGATTTTATTCCATTTTGGACTATCTCTTTCTAGCTTAGAATAAGAATAACTTCTTAGGGTGTTTGGCTATGTTTAGTCTATAAATAGACCATTAGTGTACTCACTATATTTTATTATATGATACTGAATTTCTTTTATTCATATAGAGTATTTGATATGAGTCGGATGAGCACTCCAACCTATAGGAGTACTCTGGGTTTATTAGGGGATACTACCAAGAAGAGCACTTTGGCCACCTGTTCTACGTCACTATATTTTCACAGCATTTAAATTTTAAGAGTAAATGTCCATTTTGGTCCTCCAAAGATATACACGATATCACATTGGACCTCAAAATATATGCATGATATCGAATGGGTCCTTCAATGTAACATTTTTGCCATCCAATTGAGTCTTAAAATGGCATCACAATGGTCCTTGGGGGACAAAATTGATGGTATTAATTATCACTAAAGGACCAATTTTTATGACGCTGATAAATGGAGGACCAAAGTGATGTCGCGTATCTCTTTGGAGGACAAAAATGAGTGTTTACTCAATTGAAACATGAACAAAAACTTTTTTTCGAAGAATAAATAACTCTTGTGGCAACTAGTAGAAAAAAAAAACAGAATAAGAATCTCAAATCCTATAAATTTTTGTACAAAAAACAAAAAAAGATGAATCCTCTAAAGCGTCCTATCAATCAAGCATGCATTGATTAACTCTCTTCCATCTACATTCCCACCAAATCACATCCTATGAGTTTTAGGGTAACAAATGAAAGAAGGCCCCAAACTTATGTGTTTTTCTCTTCATCACAAAAAGAAAAATACTCAGAGGTACCTGCATGGTGAAAGAGAGGGACAGGCCCAAATAGACTTACCGCATGTAGAAGTTCATAATAGTTGATGTTAAAAAGCCTGCAGGGACAAGGCAATCTATGTCTGTGTAACAAATTTCAACACACTCTGGATCATCTCTGAGCCATCACAATGGAAAGTTAAAAGGTCATGCAACATAAATTAAATATAGAAAATTATGGTTAAATTACTCTTTTGAAGTACCTTGATGGGAAATAGATCTTAGTATCTTTCAGGCTGAAAAGAGACAGACACACAAATAAAACTAAGGATATCATCTAAAGATGAAATATATAAATAAATAGATAAACATATTAAAGCAATCAGATTCCCTTACTATTCAGCAAGTTTGTTTTCTTGCTCTGTTTTCTCCAGAATATGAGGTTCATCATCGTCATCATCAAGAACAATGGGCTGACCCTGTTTGAAACATGTGATATATAACTTATCGCTTATAAGTAATTAGTGAAGCTAAAGATGTGTCTGATCATGAACAAACTACTTATCAAATTGGGGCTTGTATAACTAACAACTACAACTGCCAAAAGTTATACTTATAAGCTAACAACAAAATATGAATGGATAAATAAGAAAATATAGACATACCTTCCTGGACCTTGAGTCATCTGATTGAATTGTCTGAGAAGCAAGCTTCCTACCAGGTGGGGAAAAAGAAAACAAGAATCCAACATCGTGAATTTTTTCATTCAGAAATACCAGTTAGAACCAAAACTAACAAACCCTATCTGCCACCATCTTCAGCTTAAGTAGAAAAGGGTGAAGAAGAGGAAACCTTATCAATAATTTTCTGTAGCAATTGATGATGTTGAACATAAAGATGAGCATTGAATACAACCCCAGTACAACAGGAGGGGAAACAATATTAAAATAAATAATGATGTAATATTAAAGGATTACAATTCAAATCCGTAATAAAAGATTACTCCTAAGCTGTAGGGATAAGAAATAAGGATATTATCTATAATAACTAATAATAGCCCTGATTATTCAACAATGATTGCAAACTTGTGAACTACTAGACCATAATTTAGTAAACAAAAACTGCCAAGAGCAACTAGAAAACTTAGTCCCTAAGAGTTACCCCAATGGTTGAGCATAATGGGTTCTCCAGGTCCTACGTTCAAGTTCAAAGAAGCAGGTGGAGTGAAAAATAAGGTAAGGAGATAACTATCGCTTGTACTTTTGGATGAAATGGACTAGCCTTTGTTGTGTATCCCAACTACCCATAGATCCCAGCCCAATTATAAAAGGCTAAACAACCTTATGAACTAAGGAATACCCCTGGATAAATATAACTTGTAAATTGGCATACAATCAGAAATTAAGTACATTAATTTCATGACAAACAAAAGAGACATGTTAACAGAACTAATAATGGCAAAATGACTAAATGAGGTACATATCTCAATGCAAAAATCACACAATATTGCTACTATTCTAAAGAATTGGAATGAAAAACCATAAGGAAGACATTTTCTCTTACACATTTGAAAGGCTTCTTGACAGGTTTTTCCCAATGTTCCGCAGAGAGAAATTAGAAGTTGCCCTGTAACTTTTCTCATGTTTGGAAAGATTGCTAGGGCATTGGAATTGAAATTGTCTTGAAGATGACCGAACTCTCTTTCTTCCTTTAGGTTCCCCATTGTCTCGCATCATCTGTTTGTTGCAATGTTTGAAATGTGACATCTCTTTTGTGAATGCATTGACTTCCGTACAATTAGTCTCCTTAATAAATTGAAGTCAGATATGGTAGTATCAGGCAAGTTAGAAAGGAAAAATAGAGTATTTTACAAATGATGCAGAGGACCTTACATCATCTTCCATTTTCTTAACAAAAGAAGATGCAAAAGAGGATTGTGACTGTGCTTCAGATAATGTATTCTCTTGTCTCAAGTCATTAGACACACCTACAAAATCATTCAGTTTCTTAGTACCCGACAAACAAGTAATTTAATCACGAGCTGCCACCAGCTCTAGAGATATATCACACTAAATGTCAGGTTTCCAATATTGAGATTCATAAACTAATAATGACAAATTTTTCCTCTTTTTCCAACAATGAACAAAAATGACACATGGTAGACCATACCATACCCAAGATATTTTGTACTAAAGAATCAATAATAGATAGGACCCAAATACCATGCCTTTATCATCAAGCCACAATGGCATTGGCATTAAAATTAAAATACACTTACAGATCGGTTTCAATAGCCACTTTCTGGGAGCAATCATATCATATCATTAGGTTCCCTACTAACACCAAGCTTGACTTTCAAGTTTCAACCAATCCATTCATTTGCTTCCCATTTAATCCTATCATTATCGCGTAAACAAAATGAAATCCTAAATAACCCAAGTTTGACCCATAATAGGAATTGTTACTTGATTGCATGCTTTAAAAAACAGACCATCGTCAACAGCACTTGAGCCTGTAGCTTGTCTGGGCTTCTTCAGGTCCTGGTCCTCTTCAACTTCCTGTTCTACAAAGGAAAACCAAAAACAAAAAAAAAAAACAAAATATAAGTAATTAAACTGAGAACAAACAAGTCCTGCAAAAACAAGAAATCACAGAAATCAATTGCACAATACATCCATAAAACTTAATACATAAAAACAACAAATGAAACAAGTAACATAGATTACATTTAAAAAAATTCTAAAATCAATGACTCAATCAAGCACAATAACAAAAACTCACATTGGAGAAGAAAAAAAAAAACAAAAAAAAACAAAAAACAAAATTCTTGTATTGGCATATCTAAGAAGCAGAACCTCCTGACGGCGCTTCGCTTGTGCTTCCCGGCGAGTGAGCTCTTCTTCGCAACGCTTGATGCTGGCACGAAGCTTGGTACCACTGTCGGGCAATCTCTTGCCCGTGGTCTCGAGGGTGTTCTTCTGACTCCGAATCATGTCAATGAGCTGGCGATCCTTGAGCTGGTTGAGGCTGTCGTCGGAGGGCGGAGGTTGCTGATCGGAGACCATATCGGCGGAGGGTTTGACGATGAGCTCCGGCGGGGGCGGCGAATTGCCGGCTCTATCGGCGAAGATAGTGTCCCAATCAAGGGACAAAGGACGTTTGTGGTTGTGTTCCTCCATGCATATGCATATGCATTTGAGTGAGTGATTGTTACAGAGAAGGGAAGCGAAGGGAAGGGAAGGGAAAGGGGTTACTGTTACTGTTATATTATTAGCCTATTAGGTGTGAAGGTAGTGAGTGAAGAAGTGGAGGGTGAAATTGAGGGAGTGTCGCACCATTTAAGCTCATTTGTGTGCGTGCTGTGCCGCGTGAGGGATCTTCTCTTCTTCTGCCCTCCTGTAAGGTCTGCTTTCTCCAATGTCCCAATTATTTTGGGAATCAGTCATTTCCTTTTTATTTTTCGGGCGTTTGGCAGACAGAAATTTTTTTTGTCCAAAAATCCTAATTTTTAAAATTATGAATTTTAGATTCAGTAGTTTAGGATAATATTTGAAAATTAAAAATTTATGAAAATTCAGTTTTTTGATAATCTCTAAGAATCCTGTGTACTAAACGATCCCTTAATTTCAATTTTTTATCGTCAAAATAAAAGTCTAAAACATGAATTTAGTTTTTTTTTTTTTTTTTTTTTGTCTCGTTAGTGGATTCTAAAAGGTGTGAAGGGAATAACTTTTATCTAACATGGGAGCCTATAGTTGAAGAGAATCACCTTCAAATGGGCTAAGCCATAAACTCACCACAATAAATGGGTTGGGACATATGTATCAAAAAAAAAAAAATGAGTTGGGATATTATAGTGTAGGAAAATGATATTGTAATAATCAATCAGTGCTATTACTAATCAATTTCATCGTTAGATCGATTATGTTAATCTAATGGTTATATTTATTTCCATCTTTGTATGGTTATGATTCCTCATATTTAATACTTTATATTTATTTTCACCTTTTGTATGGTCATGATTTCGCTTATTTAATGTTTTCACATTAAATATGAAGAATCATAATCATACAACATATTTAATACTTTCACGTTAAATATGAGAAATTATAATCATACAAAGATGGAAATAAATATAACTGTTGGATCAACATAATCGATCTAATAGTGAAATTGATTGGTAGTAACACTAATTGGTTGTTACAATATCCTACTCCTATAATTTAATCTAAAATCTTTAAGACATTAGATTTATGAATTTTTCACTTATATAGTTCTTACTTAGTCCATCTCAAGCCAATGTGCGACTTCACTACTCATAATTGGATTCATTTTCCCTCTTAAATATAAGTCTCGAGCCCACATTCGCTCCTCCTTAAGTGAAAGCTTCTTTCTTGTATTCATGGAGTTACTTTAAGACTTGGCTATACTCATCAAACCCTTAGCTAACATGCCATGGGTTTACATCAAGGCTTGGCTATATTTATTAAGTTATTGGCTCCACGTCATGAGTTTGATTGGCCCATCAAACCTGAATACTAACTACCATATCTAAATACTCGCTCACAAAGGTCAATCAACCATTGACTATGTTGAGATATATAGTCCCACATTGGTTGTATGAGCAACTAATGTGGAGTTTAGAAGGCCTTGGGCACTCCCACCCCTTGAACTAGCTTTTGGGGTGGTATATCCCAAGGTTTTTTACATGGTATAGAGTCTTGTGTCCCGGGTTCGATCCTCATCGCCCCCCACTTTCTTTTAAGTGGAATTTCTTTGTTCGCATAGGTAGGTGGGCCTGTGCATTGTCCACCCTTCAAGCTCAGTGGGCTCTCGTGTGAGGGGGCGTGTTGAGATATATAGTCTCACATTGGTTGTATGAGCAACTAATGTGGAGTTTATAAGGCGTTGGGCACTCCCACCCCTTGAGCTAGCTTTTGGGGTGGTGTATCCCAAGGTTTTTTTTACAGATTATGATATCATTATTGTACAATAACGGGAATCCCACTATAGGAGAAAACTATCATCAAAAAAGACTTTGGCATGTTCTCTAATTTGTGCTAAAGTGGATTGTAAACTAAGTTTTGAAGGAAAGATTTTCATAAGAAAGGCATTTTGGGATAATGGAGAAGTCATTAGGATTAGTGAAAAGGAATTTATAGAGTAATGTTCTAGGTTATCATAGGCCTAAGTGAAGTAAATTGAATTGGTCACATTTCATGAAAATGGTCTAAATTGGGTCATTTTGAAATAAATTGCATAATCTAGTGAAAATAGGAAATGTTGACCTTATATCTATATATTTTGTATAACAAGAGTTCTGGGCATTAAGTGAGATTATTCTTATTACATTGAAAAGGGAATTCTACAACTTATGTGAAGAGCTTGAGAATTGAACAAAAAATCTACTCAATTGAAGGAGACCGTCATAAAGGTGGCAAAGCGGGTAGACACTCTCTAACCTAATAAAAATAGAGTGAGGCGGGTTGACTCACTTTTCAAAAAAAATTCAAAACACTAATTCATCTCTTTTTTTTTGGCAAGTTGGCAGGTTAACTTGCCTAAAAAAATATGTAAATTTCAAAGAGGATTTAAATTAATCATCGTCAAATTTCCTTAAATATCATTGCAACCCATATGACTATAATGTGATACATGACCAAACACATATCTATCGTTTTGATCGACCACGGACAAGAAACAGACATTCATTCCTGTATGTCTCACTGCTAAATCAGTCACGTGAGAGAGGGAGGAAAGAAAAAAATAAAAATAAAAATCTTTGGATCTCTAATAAAAATATTGTCTCCACTTATTAGTTGTTTGGTTCTTATAAAATTGAGAGTGGATTATTTTAATCTTTTCGAGAGATTAATGTAAATTTTTTTGAATCGGTAAGAGAACACGATTTTAATTAAATTCATTTTAAACTTCTTGGGGTTTTTTTTTAGAGAAAGTGTTTTTTTTTGTTAGAAACCAAAAGGTATAAAAGCGCCATAACTTCCCCTCTGCGCAACGTGTCTCTCTCTCTCTAGCCTCTAGGGCCTGGAGATCAACATCATCGCAATAACCAGTTGAATTCGATTCTCCACTTTCTCACAACCTATGGCGGATTCCGATGTCCTAGATCCCAAACCACAAAACTCTGAATCCGATGCAGTTCCGCCATCGCCACTTGCTGCAAACCCAAATTCCAATCAAGCGTTACTTCCTACACTGACACCGCCGCCGCCGCATCAGCAAGTCTCCTGCGGATTGGCCTTTGCTCCTCCGGCAATGCCGTCCTTCAGGCCACTGCCTCAGTTCTCACCGAAGCTGAGCTATCAAAATCCTTCAGTTCAGCCACATGGTGTGAGTTTTGCTCCGGCAATGTTTCCGGGCGTTGTCAGTGGTAGCACGGCGTTTCCGGTGGCCGTGCCGCCGATGATGCCATATCAGATTCCTCCCGGCCAGCCCGCTATCCCGCCTTTGAGACCGTACACGCCAATGCCGAACGGTTACGCGGCTGTTCCGGTCGCTCCACAATGGACTGTACCTCCTGCGGGTGGGTTATGATATCTCCATCATCAATTTTTTTATTTTTTTTTAAATTAATTTGTGATTATGGTTGTGAATTTAATGCTTCATCGGAATCATTGGTATGAATGTGTTACTTTATTGCTTGCGCAGTTGTGTGAAGACCGTTAAGTGTGTAACTGTGTATTAGCTAAACGAAAACCGTTTTAGTGATGATAGTATGATACTGATTATGATAATTAATGGTTTATGATTTATTGTGGGGAGGAGTTTTTTTCAGATGAATTGGGAGAGATTTAGAAAGTTGTTGTTGGTAGATAAGGGGTATCGATGACCGGATGTTTTCTCCTACAGCGTCTTGACTCTTGATTGAATACGGTGAGAAAAGTTGGAAGGCTTCATATTGCTTACAGACCTACACCTCTACCACTCATTTTTTTGGTATGCACTTATTTGGCATGTTTCTTGCTTGTCCTTAACTAAAATTGGAAATCAAAGCTTGCACATGGGGATTTTGACTATGGAAAAAGAAATTTTGTTCCTTTGTTGATCTAAATAATTTATGGTTGTGTCATGCTCATTTTAGTAGGCTACTTTGTGCTAGTTATAAGAGTACTTTCCCTTCAATGTTTTTATGAATTCCAGAAATCGACCATGTTTGCAACTGAATGCACGTTGGCCTTGTGTCCTAAGGTATTTCAATCTTTTCAATTCTCATTTTTTTCTCTACAGTTTCTTTTTTCTTTCTCTTTTAATGCTGCAACATGGGGTGCTATATAAAAAACATAGAATTCAACTAGAGTTTCTTCTTATTAAACCAAGCATACATGAGATGAAGAAAGTCTCATGTTTATTTGCAATTGTTTGAGAAGCCTGCTATGTTGCAAGTGGTCAGTCAAAGGTAAGCTCTCTTTACATAACCGTATATTTCAAACTCGATGGTATTTTTAATGTTTTCTTCAGGTTGTCATTTCAGCTGGTGTTTGTTGGCTATGCTGCCATCTCTATTATGCTTTTGATGTGTGGTAACAGCATTCCATTGTTCTTGTCTTAATTTCCACATATATCTTTAGTATTGTATTGTTAGTTTACAGTGTATATTCACTTATGACCTGATCTAATATATTTGCATAGCTATTTTTATACATCTGTACAGGTATGCTTCGTTATCCCCCTCCATATGGAACTATGGTTCGTCCTGTATATCCTCCACGCCCACCTGGAGCAGTTAATGTTCTTCCAGTACCACGCCCACCTGTTGCAGGGGTCCCTGCAGTTCGACCCATTATTCCTCCTGTTGTCAGACCCGTGGTTGCTCCTAGTGTTACTCTTGTTGAGAAGCCACAAATCACAGTTTATGTCGGCAAGATCGCACCAACTGTGGAATATGGTTTTATGCTCTCTCTTCTTCAGGTAAATGTCTGACTATTTTGGGCCTCTTGTATGGGGAGGGGGCCTGGCAGGGTTTAGTTCTTTTATTCTCTTTCCAACCTTTCAAAACATGAACTAGAATGAATGTATATTTCTTTGAAGTTATGCGGACCGGTCAACCGTTGGAGACGTCCTCAAGATTTATCAAATGGAACTCCTAAAGGCTTTGGGTTTTGTGAGTTTGAGTCTGATGAAGGGGTTCTTCGTGCCTTACGTCTGCTTACAAAATTGAATATTGATGGGCAAGAGCTAATGGTATGCCTTCATTTTCTTGTTACTTGCCCGTTGCATTTAAATATTCAGTTATTTATTTATTTATTTGAATACTTGATAATTGTCTACACTAGCTATTTTATTATCTATGAAATATAGATCTAAAATATTCATCATTTTTTTTCTATGTGAAAGGTACCAGAACAGAATCTAAGAAATGAAAAGTAGAAGAAGAGATAAAAGAAAGAAAGGAAATCTGATCTTGATATTAGATCATATGATAACTTGTATTCTATGAGTGGTAGCAGTACATTATATACAGGGACTCACTAGAGTTAGTTCACTAGAGTTAGTGTAACCTACTAGAGTTAAAGAGTTAGTTACAACTGTACTATAAACAGAAAACAGTTATAAGTCAACTGTTATATTCTATACTCTTTCACTATGGTTGTTTCAACTCAGTTTTGAGTAGTCATGACTCATTAATTCTCACAACCCTAGACCTAGTTAGTGTTATGAATGAGAATACAAATAAATATACAGTCTATCTTTAGCTTTTTGGTCTGGTTTAATTAAAAATTAAAATTAGTATTTGGTTTTTTTTTTGGGAAAATTTTCTGAAGGTGGAGGGGATCAGTTTTTAAATAAGGATTTTTGTGAAGCTAATACTTGAGTTTGTCTGTGACACAGGGATCATAAAGATTTGGCTGATATCAATATTTTAATGTGTCTCTCCCTTATATATGTACATTGCTTAATGATAAGAATTATATATCTTTTTTTCATAATTGGAGTTTTAGAAAACAATTACTTGCATTAAGTAGTTGCTTTTAAGTTGTCGTATGCTTTTTTCATTGAGCCTAACAGCCTATGTAGAGGTGACTTATGATGTGTTTTTGACTTAACTGTTTGGTTAGTGTGATGGAGGTCATACACAATAATTGGTGTGAATGCTTCCATCTCTTCAGCCTTTTCTAAAACATTAAATGAAATGTATTTGAATTAGATTCATGATTATGTTGAAAGTTAGGTTGACACAAATTATTTTCTTTTATCTGGTTGTATATGTGAGCCATGTAACCTTTGATATTTGGTTAACAGCTCACTGTTAATCAAACTATGAAAGAACATCTAGAGCGGTATGTTGAGAGAAAAACTGAGAATTCAAAGAAAAAAGAAACTCAAGAGGCAGGAGATGAGAAAGATGATGAAAGTGCACAACCTACTGATGCGAATAAGGATGTAAAACCTGATGCAGAGCACTCAAAGAAAGAAGATAATGATTCAGGGAACAAGGAATCCCATGATGTGGCAACCTTTGGCATTGTCTCTGATGAAGATAGGGAAACTGATCAAGAGGCTTTAGAAAAGATCAAGAACATGATAGAGGAGAGATTGAAAACCAGACCTTTGCCTGCAGCTCCTGCACAATCAGCTGGCAATGGCTCTGCAATAACTTCTGAACAACCTGCTAAAACAAGAGATGGAGACTCTGATGTAGATATGGGGAGGAATGGTATGATTTATTGTAGGCTAAAGGCATTTCAATTACTATATCTATTATCTATTGACACAAGAGAGCTATATTTTATCATTGGGATACATGTCCTCTAGCAGTTTTTTCTTTCTTTATTTTGTTTTGTTTTTGCCTTTTTGAAATGTTTTATTCAGGAGCTAAACTTTTCAAATTCTGTAGAAGCAGCTAAAGATAAAAATGAGAAAGATACAGACAGTGACAGAAAACCAACTAGTGAACATGATAGGCCTGAGACTTCTGATAGAAGGCATGACAGGAGAAGCAGAGAGAGAGACCGAGATAGGGAACTAAAACGAGAAAAGGAAAGGGAACTTGAAAGATATAAAAGAGAAGCAGAGCTGGAACGTATTAGGATAGAGAGGGAACAAAGAAGGAGGGTTGAGGAGGTGGAGCATCAGTATGAAGCGTATTTAAAGGAGTGGGAGTATAGAGAGAGGGAGAAAGAGAAAGAACGCCAGTATGAAAAGGACAAAGAGAAAGAAAGAGAACGCAAACGTAGGAAGGAGATACTCTATGATGAAGAAGATGAGGATGATGATTCAAGGAAGAGGTGGCGGAGAAGTGTATTAGAGGAGAAGAGAAAAAAGAGGCTCCGTGAAAGGGAAGGTGACCTGGCTGACAGACAAAAGGAAGAGGAAGAAATTGCTGAGGCCAAGAAGAGGGCTGAGGAGGATCAACAACAGAAACAACAAAGAGATGTATTGAAGCTATTATCTGACCATGTGGTAAATGGTGGTGAAAAAGTTACTGGTACTGAAGAGATTGCTAATGAAGCAAAAAATTTTGTAATTGAACAACATATTGTAGCTGATTATAGTCATGAAGGTCATATAGGTAATTTTCTTAAAGCTTACTCTCAATTCTCCCAGCTTTTTTCTTTCTCTCCCTCTTTCATTATATCAAAGATGGAGGTGCCTTTACATGACAGGCGACGCTAATTCACTAAATGGCATCAACGGTGAATCGGGCATGGGATCTGTTGCTGAAACTGATATACGGTCAAGTGGGAATGCTCCTGCAAAGAAGCTAGGATTTGGTCTGATTGGGTCTGGAAAAAGAACCACTGTCCCTTCCGTTTTCCATGAGGACGAGGATGCACACAAGGACAAAAAAATCAGGCCTTTGGTTCCAATTGATTACTCAGCTGAGGAACTGCAGGCGGTTCAACCTACTGCTTCAGGGCCAACACCAGCAAATCTGGCTGCAGCTGCAGAATCTGCTAAGCGTGTATCCAGTGCTAATTTCAAGGAAGAGAAGCTGGATGGAGAACGGGATAGAAGTAGGCATTTGAATGAGAAATCTAATCACCGAGATAGGGACAGAGGTGATGAAGACAACACTCACAACAGAGACGAAAACAAGGAGAAAATTCCTGACCGTGACAGGGATAGAGATCGTGGGCTGGACAAACTCAAGACTTCAGACAACAAGAGGCTCTTGGATGCTAAACAGTTAATTGATATGATACCAAAGACCAAGGAGGAGTTGTTCTCGTATGAGATAAACTGGGCAGTATATGACAAGGTACATGATTCTTATCTGGCTGACTTTTACTTGTGTAATTATTTGCTCTTGATATATTCAGAAGAGATTTGTCTAATCTCTCTTACACATGGCTTGAGCACATAGGGCCAGATAAGAAATGGGTATATTCCGCTCTTTACCAGGATTGTGGGGTCTTAGCATGAGTGTGTGGAAAGAAAGGTTGAAGATATTCTAGTCTCTATTAAAATATATTTTGGGTACACGTACACCCCTATCTGTGGATATAAAGGGTACTGTCTTGGTAGCCCACAGAACTAAAATATTGAAAATTTTGAAGATTTTAAAATATTTTATAGAACAACTTCCCACAAATGATGAGAAAAAATACTATTAAATTTCTGGCCTTTTGACCAATATAATTCGAAATTGCTAATGTTTCACCAATATAATTCTATGACAATACTATTGGCCGTAGTAATGCATGGCAACACGTCGTGCCAGAAGCTGATTTGATACGCGGTAGTTTCCCAAACAATTATGAAAACGTTCCTAAACATAACGTCATTCATTTGCAAAGAACACGTTAGGCATGCAGACATGTTACTGTTCACACTGACACATTCAGACTGAAAAAGGTGACGTGTGGAAAATGGTAGGAGCAGTAATGCGTTCAGTCTCCCATGCACCTGAAAACGGGACTTGCTCCACCGTTTTTCATGGGGCACCTCCTATACAATCACAGCACAACCGGTTACTTTGCCTCAGTGAAAAATCGTAGCATTTGGTTATTGTTTAACATTTTTATTATGGGAATAACATCTGTCGTTTTAAGTGATATAAGCTTATATCATTTTAGATCCTAATCGTTGATTTCCGTCCATCAACGGTTATAATTTATTGGATCAAAATTATTAATTAATTAATAATAAATTCGGCCCATTAAGTTTGGCTCAATAGATTATAACCGTTGATGAACGGAAATCAACGGTTAGGATCTAAAATGATATAAACTTATATTCTTTAAAAGGATAGATGTTTTTCTTTTTTATTATTCCTCCTATAAGCCGACGTGCTATGCCATTGTCGGTTCATCCCTTATGATTTTAATATGCATTATTCAAGTCCTGTAACACAACATTTCACCTATTCCGATCGCGGAGAACAGGCCATTCGACAAGGAGATTCTGAAATTGCCGAGTCTTGGTTTGATCAAGCTGCTGAATATTGGAAACAATATGGGAAACCCTTTTCGCTCCGCTTAGTCCTACCCCCCAGGGGTATTTTAGTGATAGGTTCTATAGGAGTTGGACGATCCTATTTGGTCAAATACCTAGCGACAAACTCCTATGTTCCTTTCATTACAGTATTTCTGAACAAGTTCCTGGATAACAAACCTAAGGGTTTTTTTATTGATGAGAGTGACAGAAAACTTGTATTTTTATTTTCTATTTTTTTAGGATTACATTAAACAAAAGGATTCGCAAATAAAAGTGCTAATGCAACAACCAGCCCATAAATTGTTAAAGCTTCCATAAAAGCCAGACTAAGTAATAAAGTGCCCCGTAAACTTTTTGAATTATGGATACAAGAATTCAAACTCAATACGTAATTTTCGCATTCAAAGAATTTTCTTGAATAATTTTTTTTTTCAGTTATTAAATCCCCTTTTTTTTACCAAGTTCAATATTAATAAGATTAATAATGTTATGTCATAATAGATCCGAACACTTGCCCCGGATTGACTTCCAGATCATAATTGTTCTAGTGAATCACTAAAGAAAATAGATTAAAGAAAATATAGAAAATAGATTAGAAAATATTTTTTAAATGATTCATGTCGTCCCCTAAATGACCGCTCAGTGATAAAGGAGGTAGGGGTGCAGAGACAGCCAGAAGATTTGCCTAGAAGCAGCCACATTTGAAAGAGTGCGTAATAGCTCACTGATTGAGCGCTCACGCTCACTTTAAATTATTGTTTATAATTTTCATTATTCAATTCGTTCAATGTTAAAAATATCCTTATTATATAAAATTTTACAATATCTTTAATAAATAACACACTAACCAACAAATGAAATGTAAACATATCCATAATTAAAACAAAATCTTAAAATAATATATAAATTTAACATAAATAATATTTCATTTATAAATAATAGTATATTGATAAAATAATGAAATAATAGTATCTTTAATAAACACCTCCTATTCAATTCGTTCAATGCAGTCATGTCCATGCTATTCTATTCTATTCTATTCAAACGTTCTAATCGTCGTATCGAAATTACTTTTAATTCTATTTTAAAATTATTGAATAATTTATAAATTTAACATATTCAAAATTGACTAAAATTTTAAAAAATTGACATATATTATCTTACAAGTATATTGATTAAAAAAATTTGACTGATATTATAATTTCTAAGTGACACGTTTTTCTCATCTTTTGAATTTGAAATTTTGTATTAATTGAAAACAATTAAAGAATATTTTAAAAATGATATATTTTGTTCATGGTCACAAATTCTTATATTATTTTATAAACCCTATTATTTCATTATTTTATCAATATACTATTATTTCATTATTTTATAAGGAGAATGATATATTTACCACCAAAAAAATTTACAACCTTTACAACCAACCTAATCACCATTGATTTTTCGTTAATCTAACGGTTATCATTTATTGAAAATTATTGGATCGTATTTATTAATTAATTATTAATTCCAATAAATGATAACCGTTAGATTGACGAAAATCAATGATGATTACGTTGGTTGTAAAAGTGATAAACTTTTTTGGTTGTAAGTATATCCTGCACCATATTATATTTATTTTATAAATGAAATATTATTTATGTTAAATTTATATATTATTTTAAGATTTTGTTTTAATTATGGATATGTTTACATTTCATTTGTAGGTTAGTATGTTATTTATTAAAGATATTGTAAAATTTTATACAATAAGGATATTTTTTTATTTTTTTTGATAACATAATAAGGATATTTTTAATATTGAACGAATTGAATAATACAAATTATAAACAATAATTTAAAGTGATAAATGTTGTGTTACAGGACTTGAATAATGCATATTAAAATCATAAGGGATGAACCGATAATGGCATATCACGTCGGCTTATAGGAGGATTAATAAAAATGATAAACAATAACCAAATGCTACGATTTGTCACTGAGGCAAAGTAACCGGTTGTGTTGTGGTTGTATAGGAGGTACCCCATGAAAAATGGTTGAGCAGGTCTCGTTTTCAGGTGCATGGGAGACTGAACGCGTTACTGCTCCTACCATTTTCCACACGTCACCTTTTCTAGTCTGAATGCGTCAGTGTGAACAGTAACGCGTCTGCATGCCTAACATGTTCTTTGCAAATGAAAGACGTTATGTTTAGAAACGTTTTCATGATTGTTTGGAAAACTACCGAATATCAAATCGGCTTCTGACACGACGCGTTACCATGCATTACTATGGCCAATAGTATTGTCATAGAATTGTATTGGTCAAACATTAGGGTTTTATTAATCTCCTTCTACATAAGATAGTTATCTTATGTGGTAGAGAGAAAATGGGTGGGTCCCACCATTACAAGAAAAAAGAAAAAGAAGAAAAAAGTGGGGTGCAGAAATCGAAGTGAGAGAAAATGAGATAAGTTACCTCATGTAAAAGGAGAGTAATATTTCCCATCAAATTATATTGGTCAAAAGGCCTAAATTTCTTGATAGTCTGTTTTGTTTTGTTTTTTCTTTTGGAGAATTATAAAGGTTTTAAAATGGATAAAAAAACGAGAAAATGAGTGTATGTGGACTCTGGAGAGGAGCCTTATAGGCTGCTTAATTAATCTTCTATTTAAATAATTCTTGAAATTTTTATTCTTTAATAACGCCCTTTATTTTCTCAATTACTGCATCACTCCTGTACTGGGTTGAAAGTTTATTATATAAGTTGCTTTCCTTTTTATGGTTTTGGTGATTGGGATTTGCGTAGCATGGAAAGGTAGAGAATCTAGTGCAATGTGTGTTCTAAATTGTTGGTTTTATATCTATAATTTTTTCAGCATCAGTTGCATGAAAGAATGAGACGATGGATTTCAAAGAAAATCAAAGAGTTTTTGGGGGAAGAAGAAAACACATTGATAGATTACATAGTTTCTAGTATACAAGAACATGTGAAAGCTTCCCAGATGCTGGAACGTCTTCAGATCATTTTTGATGAAGAAGCTGAAATGTTCGTCCTCAAGATGTGGAGGATGCTTATCTTTGAAATAAAGAAAGTAGAGAGATACATTCAAAAAAAAGAAAGAAAGTAGAGAGACAGGGCTTGCTTTGAGGTCTAAATAATGATCTTTGTTAGGATTGTAGGTTCGACATGTCCTGCTGGATTGACGTTTTTATTGTCACCCCTTGGTTTTCATGTCTTACTCAAAATTGTAAATCGACTGCATAACCATAAACACACTTCAATATATTTTTTTCAGTTTGTATTGCTTCACGATTCAATTAGGTGTCTGGATAAAAGCCCCATTTTCTTTTTATAATCCGGCGGCACGTTGTCATGTTGTGAAAACTTTGATTTTGGTGATGACAGTTCTCGTTTTCTTTCTTTTTTATTTTATTTTGAACAGTCCTCAATATACATTAAGAGATGCTCTGCCACCCCATATTGGACTATTATTAAACATGGAGCTATCTTTGACTTGTCCGAGACATTAACGGATCGTGGAGATGAAATTAAATAAATATGTAAACATTTAATATAACTAAAAGTTACCTAAAAATGCTACTAAATAAATTTCAGGGCTAGAAACTAAAAGCAAATTTCAATAATAATTTAGCTTAAACTTTTTAGGTAAGTTACACATTATCCTCTTAAGTACTTTTTTTTATACATAAACTTCGATTTGTAAAAAATAATTCTGTTAAAGTTTGAATTAAAATTAGTAAATGTTGTATTATGCTAGTCCTGATGTCTCAAAAAGAAAATGAACAGTTTCGGTTTCAAGCATGGCTGAAGAGCTTCAAATTGCGGCAAATTTTGCCATGGTCTAAATATATTAAAATTGTGGTTAAATCACTTATTGGAATTTCATCTTTCAACATCTAAATACCTTAATTTCTGCTGTATCTTTTTATTTTATTTTATTTTATTTTGTAAGGGCATATCTAAATTATCTTTCATTTTCATAAGCTTCCAAAAATAAGAAGAAATATTAAGGAAAAGTTTGGATAAAAGTATTAAACATGATAAAATATCATGATAAAATAAAAGATTATGCGTATGTTGTATATCATGTCGTAACTTATAACACATTAGTTAAAAGTTATTCAATATATTATGAGACTATCGATATAAGTAGAGAAGTAAATCAACAGGAAACAAAAAATTTGCCGGTTATAAAATTCAACCTTGTATTGAAATATTTTCTCACAAAGAAAAAATAGCTTTTGAATTGGTCTTTCTAACAAGTGACAAGACATAATGAACAAGAAAACGAAAACAAAAGTCACCTACTCTGCAGCATGGAAAAGAAAAATAAGATAGAGGAAGCACCGATGCACATATATAGCATGTGAAAAGAAGAGAGATGAAAATCTTCCAACGATCTTACACAGCAGCATATCATTCCCTCCCTTTATTTATTTATTTATTTATTTTCTTTTAACCCTTCGCACAATTTACCAGTTCTGTGTGTTTATTTCATTGTTGCCGAGTCAGTTGAGTCTTTTGGATATATTGGGTTTACTTCTGTTATTTTCAGGTTAATAATAGCATAAGCTAAATAAACAAAATTTTGCATCAACAATCTTTCACTGTAGTTGCTGGTCTTAAACTTTAACGTGCTGTCATAAAATTAAACCTGGGTGTTGGAATTGGAGTTGAACAAGTAATCACTTCTAAGTCAACGACACCATTTTCACTATCACCACCGTGGTACTTATCAGTATATACTTCGGAGAGTATATAGTTTAATTTTTTTTTTTCAGGAACTAATTCAGCTGTGGTGCACTCTTATTGGCCGATTGTATATACCATGATTGTACTAAAAGTATTTTCCTAAGTTTATATAAGGTTCCCTTCTTGTCATTTGACATGACAAGAGCACTTTCCTACACACACAAATCAAGTGTGGGTCTCACGCTTAAAAAAAAAATCAGACCAAAGTCAGGATACGACGCCGTATCCTTAGGATACGACGCCGTATCCTTGTTGCAGGAATGAACAGTGTCATTCCTGCAACATGATTCTTATATTTCCCTTTATATAAATATATATTTTTCATATCACCCATACCTATCAAGTTTTAACATAATTGTATTTTGAAGGACTCAAACTCAAGAATCCCTTACTAATTGATCCACATACTTAGTGATTAAATTCATGCCTTTTGTTAATAGCAGTGGTTTTTGAATTTTTTATTTTTATTTTAACCCATTGTAAAATAAAAAATAAGACTTTTGAATTTTACACATTACAATCATACTTGCTTGGCATGCTTTATTTTTAACTTTTGTTCTCTGTATAAGGTAAGAAGTTTAGCCAAATATATTTTTATAAAAGCTTTTATTATAAAAAGATTTTTTTTTATAATAAAAAAACTATAAATTAAAATCTCTTAAGAAGAATTTTTTTTAAGATGTATGCCAACTTTTTGACTCTTCGTTTATTCTATAATTTTAATTTTATTCTAAACTTATATTTATAAATTTATTCTTTAACTTAATAATTTGTTCTAATAATAAATTATTTTATCTTTTCTCCTTCAAAACTATCATAACAACTTTATATATTCACCAAATAGATTTTAGCTTTATTTTTTAATATTTTTTTTACTTTAACTTAAAAGTGGATTTTAGATAAAAAAAAAAAGTGTCAAACATCTAATTTCTAAATAATCATACATAATTATTAACATACGTGGACTAACACATTAAATAAATATCTAAAAAGACTCTCAATTTTATTCCCACCATACGTGAGTGAAATATGAAATTTATTTTAAAGAGTGCTAGAAGAAAAATTATTATTTATATGTTTTGCATATGTAATAAAAGGATTTAGTGTGTCTTACAATTGAACAAGCGAGCCTTCTACGCCAAATATGTACATAAGATTTTTATTTATTTATTTTTTCTAGAGAGAGAACGGTAAGAGACAACGAGAAGAAAAACAACTTTTTTTATTGTTATTATTATTATTCATACTATGTAAATAGCCGTGTGGCACATGTATATAAACTATTTAAGCCGTCTAATGTTTAAGGATTCTTTCTCCAAAGGTTTATGCTTGGGATATTGATAACCAATATTTTATTTGGATTCAGAAGCATGGATTAATTAAGCAGCACTTGTCGTTACTTTAGAAACGTTACATACTATATATATATTCCAAAGGTACGGCAATTCATTTGAAGCGGCAGGGTTGAAAGCACATTTATTTTTGCTAAAATAAGAAAGATTCAGAGAAATTGTAGAACAATAAACCTATTGCCATTTGCTCAATAAGTTCAAAAAAACTCCAAAGTTGTCTCTCTTTCCTACCTACTCTTATGTGTGTCTGCTTCTTTGCTTCAAACCATATTATTCACCATCCTTTATTTAATTTCTTTTCTGAATCATCTTCTTGGTGACAATGAATATTTGGTCATCATATTTCCCTTATATTGGTTTCATCTAAAAGTGGTATAATGCTAACATAATAATGACATGCTCATATTAACCAATTTTTTTTTTTTTAAGTCAAAACCTCCTACAACCATTATGAGTCATATCTAAGACCTTGTTAGATTTCTATGGTTCTAATGTAATGAAGTTTCAATGGAAAAGCTGCTTGCTGTTACTTCTTCTGCTGTTTATCACCCTTCATCTTGTGTGTTCTCAAACTTCTGTTCATGATTGTGTCCTTGATATTCAATTCTCTTCAGCCTTGAATAGTTCAAATTGTGAACTGAACAATTGGGGAGGGTTTATCAATAGATGTTGTGGACTTAATTTTGATGATTACCTATATGCCTTGGGGCTTAAGGCCAATCAAACTGGAAAAATATTCTTGAATTCCTCAGAGCAAAATATCTGCATAGCATCAATGGAAGCTTTTGAGAAAAATTCTAGAGGCTGTGGGATAGAGAAGCTAACAAGTGGAGCTGGTGGTTGCTCTGATTACACTGTTACTGATGTTATCAACAAGCTTGGAAACAACTTGAGGATATTGGATGAAGATTGCATGAGTTTAAGCATAAATGGTAGGCCAAATGAAACTTGCATTACATGTTTGAAAGCATGGGAGGATATTAGTGCAACATCAGGCATTACAAGTGGATCATCAGAGTCAGCAAATATCAGTGCTTATATTTGTAGGTTTGCTGTACTTGTCTCATTAACAAGCACAAGAATTTATGATAGGGAATCAATTCAAGCAGTTTATAAATGCCTTGGGGGACATAGCCTTTCTGCAGGTGAGATCTAAAACAACAGTTCATTTAATTTTCTATTTTTTTTTTCCAACCAGTTAATTAGAAACCTAGATAGTCCGATTCGAGTACTGCCAGATCCACATAACTTCTGGTTTTGAGGAAGAAGTTTCTTATCACTTGAACCAATTGTTGTTGACTTGTTGGTATTTAATTTTTTTCTTTGATTGGCACCAAAAATTGATTGAGTTCTTTGTCCTTCCAATTCATCTTTTTACTTCCTAATAATCAGAGTGATTTGACATCATTCTCAACGAATTTTGATGAACTTGAGGTAATCTATTAATTTATTTTTCTGATGGTCACAGATGAGCAAGAAACCAAGGCTAGGGGCAATGCTATTAATATCAATCCAGGTAATTATGTTCCATTTGCTACCAGATATAATTTTAGCACCATAAATTACTTAGAAGAAAAAAATTATCATCTGATTCATAACAAAATTTATGTCTGAGTCTTAACAATTTTAAGAGAATATGTTGACAACAGGTCTCTGGATTCTAGCCTTTGGCTTAACCGGAGTCACAGTAGGAGCACTTTTTGCCGCACTTGCATGGTTTATCAGAAGAATTAGAAGTGCTCCAACCGAACAAGATGGTACTCATGAAAAGAGCCTTTGTGAATTTTTATGGTCCCTAACCATTTATTTCTTTATCTTACTTAACACCATCTAATTATTTAGACTCTGAAGATTCAACATCGCTTAAGATAACTTTGAAGGATATTTATGTTGCAACTAACAATCTCAGTGCTTCAAATTTCATTGGCCAAGGCATAGCCGGTAAGATTATACCTTAACTTCTAGAAATGTGTTTTCTATTCTTTTCAATTACAATTAATGACTTCTGATGTCTCCAAGCAATACCAAACTAAATCATAGGAGAC